TGTCATCACTTTTTAATCCCCTTCCAATCAAAATTGTTTGTTTACCTCAATAATGTTTCGTTACTTGGGAATGTTTCAATTTTTACTGAAGATGTCAACGCGTGATTTTCGTGTAATTTCGTTTTAAGAGTTTAAACTCCCTCGAGAGACGGTGCCCAAACGGTCAGAAACATTAATGAAGTCTGAGGCGATGCCAGTGTGAGTGAGAGCACCGATCAGAGATGGTTTAAAAATTTCGAAAGGGCTGAAGACAAAGAAGGTCGTGGAAGGATTTCTTCCCTAGATGATGATGTTCTGCGAGCTTTGGTCGAAGAAAATCTTAGAACAACTGTTCGAGAACTGGTAGAGAATGTTCAGTCAGTAAATCGACAGACGCTGTCCTCCATAAGGCAATTGGAAAGGTGGAAAAGCTCACAAGTTGGGTTCCTCGTGCATTGAACGACCGCCGAAAAACATCGTTATGAAGAGTGCGCAATACTTCTTTGCCGAAACAGAAATTAACCTTTTTTTGGATGGAATTATTGCGATGAAAAATGGATTCTCTACGATAACAGCAGACGTTCTGGACAGTGGCTCGACAAAGGAGAAGCAGTGCCACACTCAACGAAAAAAGTTGATGGTGCCTCTTTGGTTGGTTTGGTTTAGGCTGATTTATTACAGCTTCTTGAATCCATGCACCAGAAATTGGCATTATTGAAGCCATCTTTGATCAATCGGAAAAGGCCGATTATTCGACCACGCTTGGTCCCATGCCTCACATGTGACCACACGAAAACTGCTGTACCTTGGTTATGAGGTTCTGCCTCACCCACCTTCTCCAGACCTCTCGCCTACCGACTACCATTTTTTCAGACACTTGAACAACGTTTTAAAACATAAAAAATTTATTGATCAAAAGTCGCTAAAATGCGTTTTATTATTATTCATCTCATCCATTTCACTTGTCGCCGAGAATCAAATATACACGACATTTGAAAAATGGCAAAAAGGAGGGAAAATTCAAAAGGTGCGGTTGAGATGGGAAGTTGGTGCCCGAGGGGATCGAAGTGACGATAGCTCAAGTGGTAGAGTAGCGGCGTATCAAGCCGAAGGTCGTGGGTTCGAATCCCGCTCGTGACACTGACTTTTTTATCTCAACTAAAAACCTTAATTAATTGAAATTATTATTATTATTGAGAACTAGATATTAGGATATTTTTATACACTTTTATACAATCACACAGTAACATTATTATTTCTAAGGAAACCGTACAACTCACGATAGACAGCCAATTCGCTTGACGATAACAAAGTACATAAGGCGGTCGTAGATTTATTTATTTGGCATTAAAAAGTCTATCATATTTCTGCGTTCATTCCCGTGTTTCCTGCAGTGCAGGATGATATGTTCAAGATCCTCGTATGCTCCACAGTCCTCACAGTACGGTGACGGAATTATATTCAGTCCGTTGAGGTATCCCTTGCATAGTCCGTGATTGGATCGTAACCTTACCATCGTTTTGCAAAAGGCCTTGTTTATATTATTTTCTGTGCTGAACCAAGGCTCTTGTCCTACTAACGGAAACATATTTTTGTAGAATATACCTTTGTTGTTTGAAAGGTATTTGGTTTGCCATTCTATCTGCTGCTGCAACCTTAATATAGCATGCAGATCTTTTCTGGGTACAGCTACATTTAGAGTGTTGTCCGTTGTGGTGGCATCTTTGGGTAGCCGAACTACGACATCGCTCTGAACTCCGTATGGCCTTTGATCCAGGTGATTACTACTTTATGCCCTTTAGACCTGATCATTGCTGAAAGTTCAAGGATCTCGATGATAATGTAGTCCGCTATAAACAACGTTTTGTCATTACGAAGTTTTTGAACACAGCTATGACAATCTGTACATATGACGACATTTGGGAATTGCTTGTCATTCGCATACTTCATAGCTTCCCTTATAGCAATCACTTCTGCACTGTAGATGGATAGGTACTGTGGGAATGAAAACTTTTCGCTGTAATTCTGCACGGGATCGTAAAATGCACACCCTACTCGTCCATTTAGGAGTGATGTAAGATGGCCGTCTGGAAATCTCGCATATAGGTCATTAAGGTATTTTTAAGTCACTTCGGTTTTATTCGAGTCGGTGAACGTTGTGGATATGTATTTGTACATAATTTTATAAAGAATTTGTTGATAATAAAGAACATCCCTAGCCAATAGACACAAAATTCTATTCAGAGGGTATAGAGGAGGTGCCATCACGTTGAGAGAAGTGTACTGAGAGTGATGGAGGGAATTGTAATTAATAAAAAATGTTTAAAATCATTTATTTAATTGTTTTTATTTTATACTGCTTTATTTTCCGAACTATCCGATATTAAAATTGTCCATTTTCGTGATAAATCCATCTCCAATTTTAGTGGACGGGCCGTGATGGCGTGGTGGTGAGTAAACCCACTTACATAAAACGTATGGAAAATAATAACTCGAAAAATGATTAAATGAGTTTTTCCCTATTCTTTATCGAGTCCTAAAACGAAGGGGTCAAATTGTAAAACTCGACGGGAAAAGTTGGGGTGGAAAAGCTTTCCATAACACAAGAGATAGCATTATCTCTCTAATGCAGAGTCGGGCCTTTTCGGAGCCATGAGGAATTACTAAGCGTTTATCGGCAACTCCAATTAATTTCATCAGTGAGGGAAAAGTTAGGAGTTTTGGCAGTGTCGCGTTTTATTGTACTGGCGTACGAGTGCAACTCCCTTCTAATTGTAAGACAGATTAAATAAAATTATAATTCAAATTCACCTCCGCACACATAAAAGAGAAAACATGTGCTTTAAACTCGAGCATATAGTCCAACCGGTACGAGACCTTTTGCCTTAAGAGCTAAAGAAGTACTTCTGGCATCTCCTCGACAGAGTGGAGGAAGAAACACCTCCATGGACATGTCAACCGTTGGACTGTGGCATATGAATATGGCAAAGTGGAAGACGAAAAACCCTAGAGCGAAATCCACTAATGGATGAATTCAGTTGAGCCAGATCCATCTATATCGATCGGTCCGGAGCTGAATGCCATATCCTTCGAGCTAGGGATCGTTGAAAAAAAAAAATAAATAAATTCATAATTAAGACTTCCTAAACGCACACCAAGGGGACTCCAAGAACAACTGTGAAAGATCGATGTTAGAAGAGGGTCATCTTACGTCCAGCGGATACAAAAAGTATAGCTGCCAATGTAATATATGCCTCTGGAGTATACTGTATCCAGTCAGCAGTCTAGTTTTAATAATTCTGCCGTTTGTTTTTCCGATGACCATTTTATGAATCCCACTGAACCTACGACTCATTCATAACCCCCCGTCTTTTTTGCAATTTGGTATGACACAAAATGGTTATTTCCTTGAACAATACATCGCCTCCCTCCCTCGTTGCCCTGTGTGCCCTGGTACCTACAACAACAGAGCCAGTCCCAAACAGTTCTTTTTTTTTTCTTCCTGGCAATAGTCGAGGTTCACACTTATGCCTCCGGAGTTCACCGTGATCCCAGCAGTAGTCCTATAATTCTAACTTATCCTGATCAGCTGCGTTCTGTTTCCACTACTCTACGAACACTTCGTTAAACTTAAAACTTTATACCCAAAGCTACGGGCTCCCGAGGGTATCCTTCAGTCCTTGTCTTTTAATCTGCCAGCCTGCAATCTATTGAAAGCACATCACAAGAAACTGTCCTTGGACTGCGGAGGCCTAAGAAGGTCACATACATGCCAGATTGCGCGAAGGTCACAGCAGGATAACACATAAACCTTAAACATTTTAAACTGTTAAATATTTGTGCGTTTATTTCATGAAACGAATGTGTTTATTAGCGAGAACGCTTCGATTCCCATTGAATATCGAGTACTCTGGCACAAATGAACGAAATATGTCTTGCATTACTAAATTCATTGGTTTGACTGAAAAGGGTATCAATGTACTGAGTGAATGTAATTTACTAGTGTGGAGGGGAAAACCAACTAAAACACTAAACTTAGAGTGATATAAATACCGATCATATGGGTATAAAGCAAAGTATATTCAATGATGAGCCGATTTCTAAGTTATGCAACAAGGAGGAAACAGCCATCTACAGCTAGAGGTAGATAGTGAATGAGAGAGTGTGTGAGAGAGAGTCAGTGAGTAAGTGAGGAAGAGATTCAGTGAATGAATGGGTTAATGAATGAATGTGTGAGTGAGTCTGTCAAAGAGAGAGAGAGAGAGAGAGAGAGAGAGAGAGAGAGAGAGAGAGAGAGAAAGAGAGAGAGAGTGAGAGAGAGAGAAAGAGAGAAAGAAAGAACGTGAGTGAGTGAGAGGGATTTAGTAAGTGAATGGGTTGGTGAATGAGAGAGTGAATGAGTGAGCCTGACAGAGACGGAGAGGGGTTGAGAGGGAGAGGAAGAGAGAGAAAGAGAAAGAGAGAGAGAAAGAGAGAGAGAGAGGTGGTGAATGAGTGATTAAGAGGTGAGTGAGTGAGAGAGAAAGAGTGTGAGGGAGAGAAAGAGGGAAAGAGAAAGTAAATGAGTCAGAATGAGTGAGAAAGAGAGAGAAGGTGAGCGAGAGAAGGGACTCATACAAAAGAACAAACCAGCTAGACTGCGAATTTTTGAAAATTTATTTTATTCACTCAATCCCACCTCCTTACTTCTAGAAAATGAAACATTAGATCAGTCCACAATTTTCTTGTCTTACGTATAATATACTTACTGCTTAAAAAAGTGAGAGAGAAAAAGTAAGAAACAATGAAAAAAATGTTAACTAAATTTTAAACAAACCTTTTTTTAAGAAAAATTGTATATACATATGTACATTCTAGTTGGTTTTTATGTTTTATGTATGCCTTCATTATGAATGCTTTCTCTACACCCCACTCTTTTGATTTTGAACCTTAAAACCTTTTTTCCAATCCTTCAGCCTTCTTGGATCTTGGTATCCCCTATCTTGATATTAAAAAAAAAAATATATTAAAATTTGTTTCAGGGAGCCTGATTGGATGCGGAAAAGCAGAACACTCGCCAAGCAGGCAAATGCAACCATATTTTGACATTAACACCCCTCTTAATGTTTCTGCTCATATTGGTAAATCAGCATTTCTCACTTGCATTGTACATAATGTTGGCAACATGTCGGTAGGTATTTAGCACTTATATTAACTAATCGATAATTATAAAAATAATTCATTATAAAATCTTGTACTGTCTTAAGTAACACCAACTATAACTGAGGCAACAGTGACCAATGATGTTCCCAATATAATTTAACAAGTATGTTTTCTTGTCACTCGAATGATCTCAACCCTAACGACTATTCTTTATTTATGCTAGTAAGAGCAATGCTAAATAACCTTATGGACCTTACTTTTCTCAGAGACATGATCACATATGCTACTGAATGATGTAAATTAAAAAAGAAAAAAAAAATTTAAGAAACATTTTTTAGAAAATGTTTATGCCAATGTAAACATTTTTATTTATTAATGGTTGGTTGGGAAATCTTGTCATTTGTTATTTTAAATTTATCATTTTGAAGAATTGTGAAAACGGAAAATTTGTAAGGATCAAGACGCTGGAGGGAGAAGCAGGTCATTTTCAGCAAGACGTCGTAAAAACAGTGAGTCAGTGCCTGGTTTTCGACCTGTACGTAAGAACGTACAACAGCTATCTTCAGCCAGTCGCTCCCTGGGTTCAACCTGTACACACGAACGTACATCCGCTATCTTCAGACAGTCACTCCCTGGGCTTCGACCTGTACGCACGAACGTACGTCAGCTGTCTTAAGCGAGTCACTGCCTGGTTTTCGACCTGTACGTACGAACGTACAACACTGTCTTCAACCAATCGCTCCCTGGTCTTCTACCTGTACGCACGAACGTACATCAGCTTTCTTCAGTCAGTCGCTATCTGGTTTCCGACGGGTACGAACGAACGCACCTTTAACTTCGTCCGGCGAGTGGCTCCCAGACTCCAATCTCAAGCTCCCAGATAAGCACCAACTTCTCGTTTGATCTTCCCTGTCGTGAGTTGACAACAAGGCGTACGAACGTCCTTAGTCATTTTCTTCTCAACATTGTAATTCTATATATCAACTCATCTCTCTCTATATAGCTATATTTCTTCTCGTTAACTTTGTTTGTTTTCTGGCCAGATATTATTGTAGTTTCCGTATTTATGTCATAAATTGTGAATTAATAAATTTAATTATGACACGACTTATTAAACTATTTTTTATCCATCAAATCCTTTACGCAACAGCCGGCAACTATCCCTGGTAGCGCTGGACTTGGAGGGTAGATATCCAATACTTTCTCCCGCCGGAGTCAACGAAACAGCTATGTACCCTGGAAATTCATCCTTGAGCCAGATCTTGGTATCCCGTATCTTGATATTAAAAAAATGAAAATCTATAAAAAAAAAAAAAAAACCATTTGAACATTTTCATATTAAGGAAGAAATCCTGACTCCAAATGGGAAAAAAAATCAATGCTTGAATACAGACTCCAGTTATGAATCCCTGCAATGCTGAATCCATTTGCAATTTTCAATCAGTACAATTTACATTTTATAGAACCTTTGCTTATAAAATTTGAGCAGTGCTTTAACTTAGTTTCTTTTAACGACATAGACGTCAACTTTCAGGCAGAAGATATCAGTAGAAAGGCACACCAATTCTACTCATCCTTCATTGAATTGAATATAATCGCCTATAAATAGAAATATATTCTAAAGTTCATTTATTTAAAAAAAACACGTGTTTATAAATAAATGCCATATTATGAAATATTTCATTCAGTAAACGTACAAGACATGGACGAATTCATAGAAAAAATATGTCATCAATAAAATGGGAGGTATTTCATTAAAAGATTCTTTCTTAACCTCCTAACTTCCATGAAAATATTCTTATGAATAATTCATAGCAATTAAATTTTTATACTGGATTCGATTTTTTATCAGATCCAAATTGTAATTTTTGTATTTCCAAGTAAACACTTTTTGTTTGTTTATTTAATTTGGAAAGATTGAAAGTTATTAATGTAATTGTTCTGGTCACTTTTGTCATCATTGTTGATAGTTACTTGAGATTGTTTTGATTTGTATGTAATTTAATACTTTTCAGGGATAACTTTGTATTATTTAGTTATTTCTTTGATCCCAACTAATCGATATATTTAGACTTTCTACTTGTAAGAAAATAAGTGTTTTTCTATTTCAAAATTGGATGTAATTGAGATGTATAGGAACGAAAGCAGTGTAAATGGTATAAAGGATGGGATCAAGAATGCATCCTCGTGGTACGCCTGCTTATTTTGCTCTGATCTTAGTGATATTGATGTACAGTAGAGGACAGGACTGTTTTTTCAATGGAAATGTTCACTGAATACATTTTTCATTCAGTCATATCTTCCTCTTTTTACACCAGTTTTTGGCAAACTCAAGGTGTTCTTGGATGCTGGAGGATTCATGTTAGAAGGTAGAATTTCTTCTGTGATGGTAATGATAGTGTAAGCGGATGTTCTATGTGCTTTTCTCTGAGCGAGTTCATTCAGCATACAAGCTTTTTGTGTGGGGGGGAGCTAAGGTTCCAAAATACAATAAACAAGAGAGATAGTACACAGAAACATTTATTTCCACAGTAGACCGTCTTCAGATTATAACCAACCAACCAACAGTAAAACAAGGCAATTCAGACACAACTTGATGAGCTTTTTTTACATCCTTCAGTGTATTCCAGGATCTTTTTCCACAGCTTCCTGGATCTACAACAATTGACTTGATTCAGCCGTGGCCTACGACTGACTCTGTGAGCCACTGTCTGAATCCATGGATCCACTGAGTTTTTGGATCTACCCACTCCTCTCGTTCACTGTGACTGCTGTTGACTATGTGCTCTTGCCGAGTCTCCGACTCTGTTAACTGAGTCTTCCTGTCCGCTGCTTTTGACACTCGACAGTCGACTCTGTATGTCTCATCTTGGCCCTGGACAGTTGTGTCTCAGCCGCTGCTTTCAACTGACCATGTGAGCCACCGACTGACTCAGCTTTTCAAATCATCCCCTTTTATACCGGATTACCAACCAGGGTACGGGAGGAAAGGGAAAGCAAAAACTCTTGGGCCAGATGATCAACTTCCATCTTGGAAGGTTTGCTCGTACAATAACTTCATAGTTCTCGGGAGTTTCCATTATGTAGCCCTCTAACCCTATGTTAATGGATTTCTGGCGAAAACAACCTTGCTGATGTATTCCCAAATTTATGGTGTCCCATTTCTATGACCAGCTTTGTGGGAAATGTCTCTTTGCTCCCTACTGAGTGAGTGACTCATCAGTTTTAGAGCCTTCTTTCCAACACAACTTCAAAATTCCTTACAACTATTTTCCTAACATCCATTCCTAACTTTTGCTAAAACAGGGACCGGCCTACAAAGATATTGTAATGTATAAGAGAGTCAGTAGTATAAATGGTAAAAGGATGGGACTAAGAATGCACCATTGTGGGACACCAACCTGTCTAATAACTGAGTGTTCAGGATATTAAATGCCCGGGCCACATCCAGGAACACACCCAAATACTCTATTCGCTAAAAAAAAAGGAAATTGTGTCAATGACTCTGAAAGTTTGCTCGCAGAGTGAGGACGGAAGCCAAATTAGTGAGGTGAAAACAATTCCATATGAATCTAGCATGGGTATTAACGTTTTAAAAGAACGAATCTTTCGATGATTTTGGACATCACAGGAAGAAAGCTGAAGGGAAGATGATTTCTGGTTGGGAGGTTTGTGATCCATAAGAAAGAGAAATTAGTACGGAATAGTTCCATGGTTGAAGAAAGATGGTTTCAAATAATATACAATATTTAATATATAACAGTAGACGCCCCAAGATTTATTTTTGTAAAAATTCCAAAACATTTTTTTTTCATATCTTTTTTTTTCAGAGCTTAATAAAATTATTTAGCAGTTTGCCCATAAAAAGATAAACATGTTCTCATCTCCCTCGCAGGTTTCGTGGGTGAGACACAGAGATATTCACATATTGACTGTCGGCGCTTATACTTACACTTCTGATCAAAGGTTTATGTCGTTGCACAAGAAAGAAAGCAATGAATGGACCCTTCAAATAAAATGGGTTCAAAAAAGGGATTCTGGTATGTACGAGTGTCAAGTCAGTTCTATACCGGTCCAGTCCCTGTTTGTTCAACTGTCCGTAGTTGGTAAGAATACTATGAAGAATTTAAACTAACCTTTTTTTTAAATAACATTGATTTTTCAGTTCCATCTGCTGTCATTCATGGTACTCCAGATGTTCATATTGAACACGGAAGTACAATAAACCTAACTTGTTCTATAAATTATGGAACTGAACCACCTGCATACATTTTTTGGTATCACCACGATAAGGTAAGCGATTCTGTACCCTATAAACATAAGTTTTAAGATCTAATTGAGTGAGTTCAATTTATTAAATATGTCAATTAATTTTCAGTTCGATATTTAACTTCAAATTAACTTTTTTCATTCAAATTGCCCTTTTCAGCTTCAAATTAAACTTTTTTACATCAAATTAACCCTTTTCAATTTAACCTTTTTTCCCGTCAAATTAACCCTTTTCAACTTCAAATTAGTCTTTTTTACATCAAATTAACAATTTTGAACTTCAAATTAACCCTCTTTAAATTTTAATCAAACCGTTGTAATGTTAAATTAGCCTTTTTCCAACTAATTAACTCATTTTAACTTCACTTATTCATTAGGGTGGTGGAGCACTCAATACTACCCTTAGTACTTTAGTACCTACTTATTACCTACTAGTAAATACATTCTCTCTTTTAACTTTACCCTTTTCAATTTCAAATTAACCTTCTTTTACATCAAATTATTAACCACTTTTAACTTCGAATTAATCTTTTTTCCGTCAAATTAACCTTTTCTTTTTTCTGTGAAGTAAAATTCCTATATATTTGAGATTTTTTTAATATAAAATAATTGGGCTATTAGAAGACCATGTAAAAATTAATTGCAATTAAAATTTAAATTTTTTTTTTTTTTTTTTTTTTTTTTTTTAAATGCTCAAATATAAAGGAATTTTACTTTTCATGTTTATATACACCATCTCGTTTTTTTTTTGTTTTTTTAATTTTAAATGTTTTATAGAAAGGGTTAAATTGAAGTTCAAAAAGGTTAATTTAACAGAAAAAAGCAAATTATGTATAAGTCGTACGTCGTAAAACTGTTTCCTCAATATGGCATTGTTGCATATTTTCTTCTCTCTTTGGTCTAAGAAGATTACACAAGTTAAATTACAAATTAAACAAGAAATTGCCATGGAAATAAGCCAACTGCCGCCACGAGAGATTAATATTGATCTTACACTCAACACTCATCAAGATAAAAAATAAATAAAAACAAATAAACTCAGTCTGTCCTGGATTTGTATCTTTACTCAATGAGCCTACATTTTTATGTGTTCTTTTGAACTTGGAAAAAAGTGGAATTTAACCTTTAAATTTCTGTTAAATTTCTTCCCAATAAGCACTGTTAACGCCATTTTTCGTGGACTTTGAGCCCGAGGTCCGGCGATGTTAACGCTCGGTCCTCTCCGCCACACAGTTGGTAATTGTCGTTTGAACTGTGCACATCGGCCATTGGCAAATCGTTTATTTCTTCTTCTTCAAACTGTTACTCGTCTCATTTTATTTTATTCTCGCGATCGTCGTGGCGAGACTATCGATCGAAGGAGAGTCTTCGAAGGACAACGAGATAAAGGGTATCCGTATCCCTATATTCCTATATCATCTGTACGCCTGTCCTTTTTCCCCCTTTCATCCGTCGTAGAATTTGGAGAAGTCTTCTATACGGTGAGTTCTTTGTTTTTCCTTTTATTTATTCTATTATTTTACCCTATTCATCAAATTACAGTCCACTTACTCGTTAACAAGCACAAATAAACTAATCACTTTACTTTTCAGAGTGGTAAAGTCGCAGTCGTGAATTACGACTCAGATCGCGGAGGTATAAGCGTCATTACTGTTAAGGCAGAAGTGAGCACGAGCCATCTCGTTATACGAGGTGCAAAAGAAGCAGATGCTGGTAAATATTACTGCAGCCCTTCAAATGCTGATGTGGCCTATGTACACGTTCATGTACATTCAAGTGAGTCTCATAAATAACTATTTGGAACTATTTAAAAGATTAATGTTTCCTTTCTGACTAGGCAAAGGACCGTCAGCGATACAAACAAGTATGGGAACTCTCGGAAACAGTTACTTCTTCATGGTGTTTGCAATGGTGACTCTCACGTTGAACGCTTGAAAAATTGTATAAAGGACTTTTTTAATAAATGAAGAAGAAAAAAAAGACTTCAATATAAAGTGACTATGTTGATATTTATTACAACTCTTTCTCCTGATAAAGCTTCTGTTTTTTGTTTTGTTTTTTTCAAAAACAGATCTACTGTTGGAAATGTTAATGGAATATTTAGATGTGATTTGTATTTAACTAAAATTAAAACAATAAAACTTAATTTGTTCTAATAAAACATTTTTATTTCCTTAAAGTTTATCATTTCATTTCCCTGTCGGCATTTTATTTCTTAAGTTTTGATTTCTTACAATTCACAAGTTACAATACACAAACGGTTTCTAATAAATAGCAAATTTTGTAGTTAGAAATGTGTGTGTTTGTAAATAGAGCACTAAAATTTTGGAAAAAATAGTTAAACTAATAACATCTTTTGTTTTTCAAGACAGCCCATAAAGATAACCATAAAAATAAGAGGGTTTGGGAGAACAAAAGGCTGTTCAAAAAATGTAATTGCAACTGCTACAGTGCTCTACAATTAAAAGTTAAAAGTTGTCCATGTGGTAACTCCATGGTATGGAAAATATGGGAAATAATTTGTGGATTACATGAAAAATGAATCTGCGTTTCCTTCTGCTGGATTCCTAGTCATGTTGAAATAAAAAAAACGAGTGCCAAAGCAGCTCTAAACATGCAGGAAACAGAACTAACCTAAGCGCAGAAGACTACATCTCTGGTTTCAAAAAGTAAACTTTGAAACGATGGAACACCATTTGGAAGGATGCAACAAGTTGAGAATGATTAAAGACTAAGAATTGGTCATAAACGATTGACACACAAGTTCCTTATAAGAACTTATGAACAATACGTTGCCTCCTATTTGTTATTGTGGCGAACGCCTAATTGTGTAACTCATTTTATGACCAATGAAAAATTGCTAAGGTTATTAAATATTTAAAAGAAATCAAACTATATCACAAGATATAATAATGACAATAACACACGACAAAAAATTAGTGAACAGTTAACATAATTAAATCGTAAACAGCTCAAGAGGCTGCGGGTTGGTGGGCTGGTGCATCCTTGCTGATTGGGGCAGGACATGGAGGACCTCAGGGTACAATACCCAGGAACCCCAGAGGATGTGGATTTTTACTAGGTGTATATTGTAAACGGTTTTAATGCACATCCTCCAAAACGCTCTCTTAGACCTCCCTGGTCAGGATTTAAAAAAAAAAAAAAAAAAAAAAAAAAGTTTAGCACATTTTCAAAATTAAAAATTTACTTCACATTTTCTTTTGAATTGTATGGAAAATTTGTAAACGTTAATCCTATTTTACAAACTTGATGTGAAGTTAAGGGGTTAATTTCAAATTAACCCCATCTTTAAAACTTCAAAATAAATTAATTAATAACAAAAAAACAGGAGAAGGTATGAAATATAAACATGTAAAGTAAAATTCGTGTATATTTGCATTCAAATAAAAATAGTAAGGCTCTTGGAAAACCATGCAAAGAAAGTATTAATTCAACTTCGAATTAAATTGAACTTTTTAGCATTATATTAACCTTTTTTAACTTAAATTATTCCTTTCTTTAATGTGTTAAAAAAAATTATAATCTATGAAATATAAGCGTGTTAAGTAAAATTACTGTGTATTTAGTAATTTTTTTTTTTAATATAAAATAATTAGGCTCTTAGAAAACATTAATTATAACTAAAATTAAAAATGCTATAAAATTAATTATAAAAATAAATAATTGTTCTATTAATTTGAGATAAAGTAATGCCAAATGAAAAATAAAACATATGCTGTATTTAATTAATTTGTAATTCAAAATTTTTGAAAAATATAATAAAATAAAATAATTATCTCATATTTTTAAAACATTTCTAATCAATTAACGAATAATTAGTTTTTATATTTAATTTCAAACTTTTAATTTTGATTGTAATTTATTCCCATGTGATATTTAAGTAAGAATCTTTTTTAACTTCAAATTAACCCATTTTAATTTCAGATTAAACATTTTTCAGCAACAATTTAACCCTTTTTAATTCTGAATAAACCCTTTTTTAATTTTAAATTAACCCTTCTATTTAATTTCAAAATGTACTTTTCTAAGTTTCAAATTAACCCTTTTTAATTTTAGATTAACCTTCTGGAAAGCTTAAAGTTAACCATTTTAAATTACAAATTGACCCTTTTTTTACAACTTCAAATTAACTTTTATAATTTCAAATTCACCATTTTTAATTTCAAATTAACCTTTTTTAACTTCAAATTAACCATTTTAAATTTCAAATTAAGCTTTTTTATCTTCAAATTAACGATTTTTAAATTTCATATTAACCGTTTCTTTAAAACATTGAAAAACTTGAGAAGGTATGAAAACAGAAGTACGTAAAGTAAAATTCCAGTATATTTGAGAATTATTTTTTAATATAAAATAATTAGGCTCTTAGAATGAAAAAATAATTTTAAAAAATCCTATGATAAATTAATTGCAATTGAAATTAAAAATTATATAAAATTAGGTATAAAAATAAAGTATGTATTCTCATACATACTTTTCAATTAGAATATATTTTACTTTAGATGTATATAATTCATTCCATCTCCTAAGTTATTTAAAGCTATAAAGAAGGGGGTAACTTGAAGACACTAAAGGGTTAATTTGCAGGAAAAGCTATATTGCTATATACCATGGTGAACAAATTTCCAATTATTGACAATATTAATGTATAGTCGAATTACTTGCAGAAAACTTGTACAGTCAGATGAACATTTTCTATTTGAAATCCAGATTGCAGTTCCATTCCCATGAACTGTTCTATGCTCCTCTCAAAGGAGGAATTCTTGTCTCTCATATGTTAACAGTTCCTAAATCAATAACATCAGAACGTGGATCTCATTCTAGCTTTGAAAAAGATTTTGTTAGCTTTAAAGTGGAACACTTTTGGAGCCCTGCTTTGTTTTTATACTTACTATTAAGTCTTTATTTAGAATATCATATTTTTATTTAAAAAATAATAAAAACAAAGTCATGGTTTATACGATCACCAGATTTGTCTCCAAATTAGTACACTTTGTTTACCATAGTTTTGTTGTATTAATTGTAGGTTTTTGTCTATTCTATACTTATATTTCTTATTCAGGGTTGTAAAAATTTATTTAAAAAATCAATAAAATACAATTTTCTTTTCTTTTGTGATGTTTGCTGAAAAGTGAGTTGAAATTTAGGACGAACTTTATGGATCAATGGGAAAAAGATCGCAAGGGTAAAATAAATTATATGAGCGAGGTAAAATATAAAGTTTTATTTTTATTTTTACAAAAAAAAGGGTATTAGCACGCCCACAAATTACAATAGTAAAACACAAATTTTCATCACTTTCAAGTCTTTCCAAATGACTTAACACTTCAATACTAACAAATAAATAATGCAAAATAATAGATTAACACATAAAAAATAAAGGTTGGTTGAAACTGAATATAAAGATTTGTTATAGGTAAGACAAGAGACTTCCTCCTGCTTGTTTAGCTGTTTTCCTTCATTACAGATGGTATTAGGAATAGAATAAAATATATAATAATAGAAGATATTACAACAGTCTGGCTAGACGGTAATATAAGCACTTCCATACTGGTATGAATTCAATTAAACAAAGAACATAGGGCTATTTTTAGAAAAAGCTTTATTTTGTTCTAGACAAGATTCCTGCTGTTTAGGAGTAGCGAATTTGCTGAAACAAAGTAAAAAATATGTAAGTATATAATAATAATAGTTTGTTTTTATTGTAAAAAAAAACATAATAATAATACAAGCTCCCTAAAAGACCCAGCCCCTTCACCCCCACAACCCTTCAAACATACTGGTGAAAGCTGACAACCAAGAAATAAACAATACGATAAATACGATGGCCGAATGCCCACATCAACCAGATGAAATTAATGAAAAGAGATTGAACAAAAAATGGAATAAGACCACAGTGGCCAATTGGTTACGGTGTCATATTTGCTATGCCAGTAGTCCTGGGTTCGAATCCCGGCTTCTTAATTTATAATATGTCAATAGTATTGTGCAGTTCTGAGCCATTGCCTACAACACCCAACAGGTATTGGACATTAAGCCCCACTTGCATGACAGAAATTTACTTTACTATATACTGAACTGGAGTTGTATGAAGCCATGAGAACGTTTCAAGAATGATCTGAAATCCTGTGTGGCTGGACCTTTAAAACTAAAAATATTTTTATAAAGAAAGTATAGTCGAACTTCCCCAAAAAACACTTCTAATGTTCTAATAATCAGACATCCCTCACAACTGGATAATTTTACTTGCTGGCATTATTCCTTTACTTTACAATAGTGCTTCTAAAAACTAGACACTCTAATGAACAGACACGGACACTATATANTAAAAGCACATAGCAAAAAGTAAAGCAGTCCGTCCTTAAAAGTCTTGCACCCCACTCAAGCCCTTCTTGTTCAGTTTACATACCGTGATTGCAACAAATCGATTCTCAGTGAAACAAAAAATTATTTTACATATGTACATTCATTAAAATTCAATTTTTACTTTCACTTATATTCTTTAATTTTCCAATAATTTATCATCACTGTCGTCTGTCAAGCATTTTGCCATCTTCAGTGTGCCTGTCTACAGGAGGATATCCCACAATTTCTTATTTTGAATGTCAAAGTCCATTATGGAAAAAGCTTCAGACTTAACCAACTTCTAATAAGTGGACAAAACCAATTTTGGCGTCTGCTTAGGAGAAGTTTGAATGTACATTTATTTCTAAAATAAAAAATACAAAAATTTTGGTTGTTTCCTATCATTTTGGTGGAAGACTTACTTTATCTATACATATACCACTACTGAAAAGAAAAACAATCGGAAACAACCAAACTTTTTTTTCCAATTTGATAAAATTTACACTTACTTGTTGTCAATATAAGACCTGGCGCGGAAAGCGGCTAAATGTGCATAATAAGTCGGCGCGGGATAAGAAACAGATCGTGTACATCTTGTATACAAATAACACAAATTATACGTAATTTCTTGTAGATCGTCTTCTGACATTTCTGAGTCATCACATAAAAGATGATATTTTGTCGGCCGACTTGTTCCCTACAAAAATATAAATTGATTATTTACATTTTGTTGAGATATTTATACACTTTCATCATATTTATACTTGTCAAAAATATCGTAATATATAAATCTCGGGATTTTTTTTTTCTTAAACCAAGATTTTTTTCTTTATATTTGTAGTAATGTTTGTTCCATAAGAGCAAATATGTTTAATAGCAAAGGAGGGATCAATGTATTTTTTTCAATGTTATTTTTCAGTTTTTCACTTTTACTAGCTGTGATGATTACAGTAGATACGAGCCATGATTTTCTTTGCCATGAGCTATATAAGCTGTGATGAATGACAATCATCACTCTTCATGAAGGAAAATCACTGTGTCAAACATTACTCATCAGAAACTGAGAGTCACTAAAGTCAACCAAATTCTGCCTGTGCCAGAATCCCATAGACCATTTTATTAAAGTAAAATCAATCCTTTAGCACAATTCATTGAAGGCATTAATAAACTCGATCGCTGGAACTCTCAGAATATCTTGTCTGTAAGAAGACAAAAGGAGTCAAATTTTTATCAGAAGGTGCGTGAATTCTTAACCACATAATGTGTAGAAAGAAATGATTTGATGGCTCTTTCTCTTTTTTTCCTCTTTTCTCTTGGAAACTACTTCGTCAACATACTGTTCTAAAGGCTGCAGTACCTGGGATCCTCATCACCATCATACTGTTCTTTTTCTTCAAAAACCTCTCTTTTGCAGATGAAACAAAAATTCTTGCCCTTATGCTGTAACATGGCTCTTGGTTGAAAGGATTGCCACCCTATTTGTTTGGTCAGTTTTTGGCCATAGATGGAATCTTGGCTCTCAAGTTTCATCTGCATTTTGTATCACCCTGCCTTCATTCGACTGTTTTTTGCTTCTAAACTACCGAACTTAGGGAAGCTTTTATTCATGGGTGTCTGTAGACAATTCCTTGTAACCTGCAAAACTCCGAAACCATGAGACCAATTTCTGTCTAATTTTCAGAGGTCGTGCATGTTGGTTTCTAGATGGTCCTATATGAATTTCATCCCAATCGGATTAATTCACAAACTTAAAATCCCACATCTACGGAAACCATTAAACATATTTTGATAGAATTTGCAGGGATTATATGAGTTGGATCCCAGATAGTCCCTAAGAATTCCATCACAATCATATCAACGGGATCAACTCCACATGTTCAAATGTAATGTATGTATGTTTCAGGTATTATATGATTGCTTTCTATATGATCCCCTATGAATTTTATACCAAATGGATTAATGTATATGCATGCACAAAATATGAGGAAGCTATATTGCCCACACACTTGGTGGATTGGACTTTCTTTGTTTTTTAATGGCCCTATGAACTTTGCATATTAGCCAAGGAGAAGTGTGTATATATATACTTTCTTACATTTTATTACATTCACTATAATTTTCTTTTAAAAATACCTTTATCCCTATTATTAATTATATACCTGGATACTGGCATGTGACATGTGACATTATATGTGTTATATATATATATATATATATATTCTACAAGCCAAGAGTCTACATGCTAACCACTCGGCTACCACGGTAGCCAAAAGAATCGTTGAAATATTATGTATTAATATAAAATTCATCTTGAAAATTAAACCTTTCCTGAACAGACTAAAACACTTCTTTTTTACATTTTATTATATTGACTATAATTTTCTTTTAAAAATACCTTTACCCCTAATATTAATTATATACCTGGATACTGGCATGTGATACGAGATAAAAGTCCAATTCGGTTGGATGCACTATGTCAGTATCTACAACTGTGCCCGCCGGTACATTTTCATTTTTACCGCTGGCAAATTTTTTCGGTGGAAACAACCTCGTATGATGTCGTTTTTGTACGACAACAAACGTAAGAGGAGGATTATATTGATCGCCGCCGAGTTCATGGCATGCCTTCTTCACAGCGCTCACTTCTCTATCGATTACCTGTGGTAAACAGACAAAATTGAAAACATTAATTGTAATAACCATTTTTATGTGTTCCTTTATTGAATCAAAGTACCAAATCATTACAGTACATTAGTACTGTTCTGAACTAACAGGGGTATTTAGATTAAACAAATATATACACATTTAAAAAAAAACTAATATTATTGCATACACAAAACGTTAAACCTAATAGAATACCTTGCTTCCTTTTTAGTCAGCCGTATCACTATAATGTTTTGTTTGTTGGAATGATAGACAAAAAATGAGAACCTTCAACCTTTCATTGCAAAAACTTTATTGGAAGCAACATTTCTGGCTTCTTTAGGTTTTATCAAACGGTGAAAATGAAAGATAAAAATGTTTTAAATAGCTAAAGCTTTTCTATATCAAATTGAAAATTATTTCAATCTTAATTACTAATCGTTTTGAGTTAAACAAAAACTTATAAAAACCAAAAGTTGGGAACTCACACTCACTCGGTCATTTTATCACACTCACTCGGTCTTCTATCACATTCACTCGGTCATTCTAGCACACTCACTCGGTCATTCTAGCACACTCAATCGGGCCATTCTATCACACTCACTCGGGTCATTCTATCACACTCACTTGGGTCGTTCTATCACACTCATTCGGTCATTCTATCAAACTCACTTGGTCTTCTATCACACTCACTCTGTCATTCTATCACACTCACGTGGTCTTCTATCACATTCACTTGGTCATTCTATCACACTCATTCCGTCATTCTATCACACTCACTCGGTCATTCTATCACACTCACTTGGTCATTCTATCACACTCATTCCGTCATTCTATCACACTCACTCGGTCTTCTATCACACTCACTCTGTCATTCTATCACACTCACTTGGTCTTCTATCGCACTCACTCTGTCATTCTATCACACTCACGTGGTCTTCTATCACACTCACTCGGTCATTCTATCACACTCACTTGGTCTTCTATCACACTCACTCCGTCATTCAATCACACTCACTCGGTCATTCTATCACTCACTCCGTCATTCGATCACACTCACTCTCTCTCTCTCTCCCTGTAACCAAACTACTTTTTCTCTCACTCACTTTCTACATATTTCGCACTCAATCCTCTTCCCACCAAATAATGTTTTAATAGTTTTATTTAAAATTCTGATTTTGAATGTTTGTCTAGTCTAGATTACTAGAATGTTTGGTGATTGGGGGGGGAGGATAGTGAATTCAAAAGGGTGGAATTACTTACTTAGATTAATTACCTTAGAATTTGGATGAATGAATGGACAACAACTAAGACCAAACTGGAGCAAACGAATTGAATACTCATATACAGTATTTAGGCATTGGGGGCTTCAGTTAAGCATAAAGGTGGCCTTCTAAATAAAGGGCCTAGGCTGGGAGGACAATTTCAGAACATTCTGGTTATATACCGTGCGAACCAACGAAAAGAAAAATAGGACAGAAATATGCTGAACATGAATTGAAGTTGATAAATGATATTAAATATATGATCACAGGTCTAATACATAAAATGATAATTACTTCTTTAAACTGTCCTTCTGAAACACCATCTCTGTAAAACATTATGGCTTGAGGCTTATAATGAGTAGCCCTGTAGAAAAACATCAATTGCTGTTTCACTATAGACTTTAAATCGACGATAATTTCTTCCCTTGGTGCTTGTATCGTCCAGATCGTATTGTAACTAAAGGCCTTTGGGTCATGACTAGCAGCAACCTGAATTAAAGTTAATTTAAATTTTAAATGTATTTTAATTGTTATTCGATGTTAAAAATTGCGATTTACTTACGGCTGCAATTGATGGTATATTCGGTTGATCACGAGAAGGATGGGTAACATCAGCACCGATCACAATAACCGGCTTGCGAAAAAAGTCAGGCCTTTAAAACAAAAATTAATTTAAAAAGATATATATAAATAACTGTAAAATGTAGTTTTAAAAAATAATCTACCAATGTTCGTTTCTTATGCTGTGGTTAATTCCATTGAGTTTGGCGTTTAATTTCAAAAGGATATTTAAAGCTGTAGCATTGCTCATTTTTGATATGGTCCTCGATCGTATGCATTGTGTAAGAAGTCCTAAATTCAGTTCAGCCACTTGCTTGACTTTTGCTGTTAAAATAACATTGCCATTTATTTATTATTTTTTTAATTAAACACCAAAATAAAGTAAATATAGTTATTTACTTAGATGGTACACATACCGTATGAAATGGGACCTCTTTCTGGTATTATTACAAACAAAATTTGACAATCTGCAAAATCTCCCATTTCTTTATCAAAATTCCTAGGGTTCGACAGTGTTTTAATACTATACGGATATTCTATAGCCATTCCAACTTCTTTACTGGCATTGAACAGTGCTTCAGCAAAATTTCTGTAAAATAAATAAATTAAATTAGCAAGAAAGAAACAAGAAGAACAAACTTCTGGGGCTTAGAGCCCCCTTGAATAATGATATTATAAAATACAGCCTTATCTAGACTCGAAACAATTCCTAAAGCTGTGTAAGTCTATCATCCAGCTCCCTATGATGTATGTGTCCCCTGTACACAATACATCTATAGTCAATGTAAATAAGAGAGTTGATTAGAAGACGCATACTAAACGGGAGAGGGTTTTAGGCACAACAAAACTGATGGAGGCGGAAAAGCAGCAGCAGGAGATCTGGGAAATATGAAGTTTCCAAGGTCTGATCAAGGATAAACACAAGGATCTTGGGACAGAAATAAAGGATTGGAGGAGGGAACGGCAATCGAACATGAATTGGGACTTTTCTACATTAAGGTTCAGCACGCCATTTTCAATGGCCTGGGAGCTTATTCAATTGAAGTCCACCTGAATTCTTACAATTGCAGGTTTAAGACCAGCAAGTGTTAAGGAAAGGTAAATTTGGGAATCATCCACAAAGTTGATGGGAGCAATATTTTTTTGGAATTAGGGGTCACTAATGTAACAAGAGAAAGAGAAAGAGAAAAAGAGAGGAGAGAGAGAGAGAGGAGAGAAGAGAGTGAGAGTGAGAGTGAGAGTGAGAGTGAGAGAGTGAGTGAGTGAGAGAGAGAGTGAGAGAGNAGAGAGAGAGAAAGAGAGAGAGAGAGATAGAGAGAGAGAAAGAGAGAGAGAGAGATAGAGAGAGAGGAAAACAGTGGATCCTTGGGGACTCCAGAAGTGATGAGCTGGGGAGAGGATGGGGCTTATCACGGATTGATAAGCTTTATTGTCGATACAGTGAAACCGCTCTTATCCTCCAGACCCGGGCTTTACCTACACATTTGCCTCTGGAGTGTGCTGTGTCCAGTTAACAGTCGAACTATATTCTAGTTCTAACACATTTTAGATTTTTAATAGTTCTGCCTTTCGTTTCTGGGATGGTTCTTAGAAGAACTTTTTCACACGCCTTTGATTATTTACACACAAATAACCTTTGATTATTTTTAATCCATTGTCTGATGGACGTTTCTGGCAGTTTGGTATGCCACATAAGGGTTTAGGGCTGACAGGCGTCCTCATTGAACTATCCTTGGCCTTCTTCAGTGCTCTTATGTTCTGTGTGCCCTGACACCTCTCTATAGGGGCCACCTCTCTTAATGGACAATTTTTGCAGTCCCAGCAAAAAAAGAAGAACAAAAGATTGCTATATATTTTAAACCCCTCTACAAAAGAATCTGTTCGTACCAGGTCATATCTGTGTGCCAGAGAGAAACGGTTCTTCAGCACCACTCTACACGTAGACCCAGTCTAAGCAAGACAATAAGCCCAAAATCATAGCTAATTATCAACCATATTTATCCTGGCTGATTGATTGAATAGATGATGTAAGCTAGTATGTACTCCATTTTTTCTCAACACCCAGGCTTGCAAAAACAGAGTAAAAAGTCTCTAATCGCCTGCCTGACCACCTGAGGCATGAGACAAACGATTTATAAAATTTAGAAACAAACCTGGGGATTTACTTAGGTAAAAAACTATACAATAAATATAACGTTCATTACCTCAATTGTGGATCCTTAGTATAGCTATCGGTATTTAAAATGGCCCACTTTTCCAAATTTTTAGGATTTAGAAATTTCCCTGAACGCCACACACCACTATTTACTCTTGCTTGTGCCTAAAAATATTGTAATACCATTTATTTAATTGACCCACCCACACATAAAAGAATATAATGTCTATTTTATTACACAATTAAAAAAAAAAAATCCGGTTTAATTATAAATTGTCAGTTTGTAATAATAAACAAATTAGCAATCTATTGATTTTGCAATTTTATGAATGGAATGCCATCTATTTTTAGAATTTTAATTTATTATACTTTTAATATATGTATAAAATAAAGATAGCTCTTACCCCCTTGTAATCCAAAACCGGAGGATTTAAAATCCGTGCAGGTACCTTAGTGAACTCTTCTGCCACCGACAGTTTAAATTCTTTTATGCATGGATCAGAATTAAATTTAATACTTCTCATCTAGAAAGAAAAAAAATAATCAAAAAAATTTTTTACCTACCTCAGAACAAAAAGATAAAACAAGATTTAAAATTTCTCCTTGGAAATCCTTGGCTTGACACTATGAGTATTCACGATCCTTGTGTTAACTCTGTTGAACTGAGTTTGATTGAGATAAGTGATGTTCTGTTAAAGGTGGAGCATTTGGGAAATACAGTTTTAGTCAAGGTTCATACTTGTTCCCACTGCAAGCAAGGCTCCTGGTTTGCAAAAAAAAAAAAAAAGGGAGGAGAGGAGAGAGAGAAGGGAGAGACGGAAGGGATGGAGTGAAGGGAGAGAGTGAAGGGAGAGAGAGAAGGGAGGGAGTGAGAGAAGGGAGGGAGTGAGAGAAGGGAGGGAATGAGAGAAGGGAGGGAGTGAGAGAAGGGAGGGAGAGGGAGGAAGGGAGGAAGGGAGGGAGGGAGAGGAGCGAGGGAGAGAGGAGCGAGGGAGAGAAGGAAAGAGAGGACATGAGAGGGGGAAAATGGGAGAGAAATATTGTACTTTTTTTAATATTTTAAGCCGTAAATCTGACCACTCGCCAACCCAAAAGAAAACAAAGGAACATCTCCAAAAAACCCTGGAAGGTGTAGAAACGCAACTATCGCCCCACTAAAAAGCAAAAAAGGGGTACTTATAGAGGGAAAGTTTTTGTACATCACAAACACGGATCATCAAGTTAGTCATAAATTTGGAATCGGGTAAACCTTGGGTCTTTTGGCCATCAGGGCGCACGGATTTGATTTTCCTTCCCTCCCTGATTTTATACCCATAAATGGTTATTTCAGGTAGCTCAAAATGTAAAACTTAAAAAGCATTTTTAGAACAGAATCTAACTAACTCTAGAAATCTTTTGTTTTGTTAATTTTTTTTTGGGGGGGGAGGGCGTTTGAAACAGCACAGGTCATTATCACTCCAGGTGCTGGTGTTTTTGAAAAAAAGCACATTTTCTTAGTATGTTATCCAGCAGCCCTGAATTCTAACCCGAGACCTTTACCTTACAGTGATGAGCTTCGTGACAATGCCTAAACAGATACAGACATCCCTCCAGAAATGGTTATTTTTCTATTTGAGAATTGGTACAATTAAGTAACATGCTCTATTCCTTAAGACTGACAATAAAATTTTCAGGTAACTTACGGATGACACAATTTTCTGTTTTCTTGCTGGGGCACTCACTGCGGCAAGTCTAACCATCTCACGTGTCTGTAACTCGTTCAGTTTTTTCATAATTACTTGCCTTGGGACAATCTCACACATCTATAACATAGAAAACAATATATTCCAACTTAATTGAATTGTTTTTGGGAAAAAAAATTCTTAGGAAGGACACTTATTTAATATTGGGTTGTCCGGAAAATAATGCAGGATTTTGGTATTAAACAAAAAAAAAGAAACTAGTTACTTTAAAGCAATGTTCTTTAATCAAAATAATTTCCCATACNGTAATCCTGTAAACGTAAACAGAATATTTTATATAGATTTTTTTTAATGAAAACTTAAAATCCTGCATTATTTTCCGGACAACCCAATAGATTGGGTTGTCATGCAAATTTTAAATGAAATAAGTAAGCTACTGTGAAGTTGTCAAATAAGTTCATTCTGTTTTTAACCAGTGTAATTAAATACATTTTAGTGAGATAAAGATCGAAACGTTGGCACTATAAAGAAAATGTTTTTCTAAAACCTACGTCACACCAGACCGCATCTCACGACCTCCAAATAATCATTTATAATTAATACAATTTTAATTTAATTTAATTTTATATAATTTTTAATTTTATTTAATTTTAATATAGACTTACTTCTCAATTATTTTACATTTAATTTATTTTATGCAGGAATTTTATTTTACATGCTTATATGTATTTAATAACACCTTCTATGCTTTTTTGATGTTTTTAAGAGAGAATTAATAAGAGAAATTAAAAGGATAATTTGGAAGTTAAAATGGGTTAATTTGAAATTAAAGAGTTAATTTAGTGTGAATAGGGGTTAACTGGCAATTAAAAACAGGTAATTTGAAGTCAAAAATGGTTAATTTGGTGCAAAAAAGGGTTAATTTAAATGAGAAAGTCTTCTAAGAGTCCAATTATTTTATATTAAAAATTTTTTTTTTCCAATAAACAGGAATTTTACTTCATACATTATATTACTTCATACAACTGCCAAGTTTATAATTCTGAGAAGAAAGGGTTAATTTTAATTTAAAAAGGGTTCATTTGAAGTTGAAAAAAAAGGTTAATTTGAAATTACAAAAAGATTAATATGTAGTTAAAATGGTTAATTTGGTGTGAAAAAGAGGTCATTGTAAATTAAAAAGGAGTAATTTAAAGTCAAAAAGGGTTAATTTGAAATTTAAAAGAGTTAATTTGACGCTAAAAATGGTTCATTTGGTTAAAAAGGGTTAATTTGATTAAAAAACTATTTTCCTGAACACACTAAAATGTTTATAAAGTTGAAAATCGGAAATTAAAACGAATTAATTTAAAATTTAAAAAAAGAAAGGAAAAAAGTGTTAATTTGATAGAAAAAAGCAATTTTTCATATGAAAACTTTCTAAAATGTCAATTTCTAGATTAAAAAAGGTTAATCTAAAATGAAAAAGAGTTAATTTGAAATTAGGGGGTAATTTAAAGTTAAAAAAATGTTTGATGAAAAAGCCTTTTTTTCCTAATGAAAAATCACTAGAATGTTAATATAATGTTAAAAAGAGTCAATTTGAAGTTAAAAAGTAGTCATTAAAATCAAAAAGGGTTAATTGATGGAAAAAAGGTATTTTCCCTAAGAAAGCCAAGGTATTTTCCATATGAAAACTTGCTAAAATGTAAATTTGAAATTAAAAAGAGGTAATTTTAAGTTAAAACGAGTTAATTCAAAATCAAAAAGAGTTAATTTGACTGAAAAACCTATTTTCCACATGAAAACTCATTAAAATGTCATGTGAAATGTTGCCTTTCATAGGCATTGTTACAGTAGCTACAACAGTGGCCAGTAGAGCAACATAAACTTATAGTAATGGTAAAACCAAAATTTTATTTGTTATAAGGCAGGCAGGACATGCAGGATTTGCCAAATGCTGAGCAAAGGTTTGCCAAATCCTGTCTAGTGGGGTAGTTACTCGCTCGGCTAGTTGCCAGTTTCCGTGTCCACTTCAAAGTGCACAAATATTCGCTGTTCCTGGATAAAATGGGTGGTTGTACAAATGCATGTGTTACTAACTGCTCAAAAATGAATAGTGATCATTTTGATTTATTCTTCTCATTTTTAATAATGGATGTACTGAAGAATAGTAAACATGAAGATTACTCATTCTAAATATTGTTGTTTCTGCAAGACGGAACTTTTTCAAAAGTGCCCACCAGATCCTAAATGAAATACAAGATGTTTTGGCAAGGCCTTTATCAACGCAAACAATTTGTGATTGTGACAAGTTAGCCTCACATTGTATGCTCCTTTGAGATGACCAGCAGCAACAGCACTCCACCATCAACAGACTATGGTGCAGCGAGCACCTAGAAAAGAACACCAATTGGAATGCTGTTGTTTTCTGAGGAGTCAAACTCTATCTGTGTAGTGATAGCAGGTGTCGAAGAGTACCAAGAACAGTGGATGTGTACAATGGCCCAGTTTGTGCTTCCTTCAGTGCAGTTTGGATGAGGTGGTGTAATGGTCTGGGCTGGGATTTACACGGGGGGGACCAACTGTACTCCATATTGTTGAAGGCAACTACCACAGTCCATTATGTCCAAGAAATTATCGAGGAATACATCCCTTAAACCAGGGATCTCATTGGCAGGGATTTTCTATTTCTGGATGACAATGCCAAATCTTAGAGGCATCAGTGTTTAGAAAACCTGGGAATTTCTCATCTGCCCCTTTCCCCATTGTCTCCAGACCTTAATCCCATTGATGAACACATGTGGGATGCGTTGCTGAGAAGGCTTTTCGATCGCCATCCGCAACCAGATGACCTGCAACAACTGAGTGTAGTATTGCTACATCTATGGAGTGAAATTCCTTATGAAATTAATTACAACCTTATTAACAGTATGCCTAACAGGTGCACAGACATTTCAGCTAACAGAGGACATTATACCCAGTGTTTACGCCGGAGAGAATTTTATTCATTTTTTTTTTTTAATTTTGTTTATTTGTTCAAATATCCATGGAGACGAAAAACAAAAAAAAAGGGTCTCGGGGTCCAGCTGGCCAGTTAGTATTGGAGAGTGGACGAACGCATTTGTCTAATTCTTTTTGATCTCGATTTGTAATCGAAGTTACAATTTACGAGTACCCTGCCGGATTACGAAGTTATTTGTTTTCTCTTCGCCCGCTCATCGCTGTGGAATCACGTCGCCTGCAATTCTTCATCGCACATCATTTTGCTGTTCACAGGTCAGATTTTTCCTTTCGGCTACTCACGTCTTCTAATAAGACTTTAATTTGAAGTGTTTGTTCTCATAATTGTTAAGTACTGTGAAAAACATTTAAAACCAAGTTTTTTGTATAGTTTGATTAATTTTCTGTAATAAGTCTGTCACTATTCTCTTTAATCTATTGACCCTGGCCAGGTCACTTTGTTGTTCAACTTATGTAAATTAAATTAACTTTATCGCCCAATGTATGTATATCATATTAATTTAATTTAATCTATATTTCTTCATATCGCGTCCTGATTCTGTCAGGGAGTCAACGTGAAGGGACAGGTTCCGGCGAACTAGCAAAGGTAAGGAGTGTTGCTGCCAATTAAGGATAGCCCCTTCTTCCAACACCCAGTATTAATTGTTTACTTGTGTCCAATAAACGAAATTATGGAATTAAAACCCTTTTTTTTTTCAAAGTCCCTTAATGAAATTTTCCTGCAGTATAAACATAATTTCTAATAAATTTTAATACAATTATAATAAAAATGCTAGAAAAAGTAAATACTACAAAATTGGTAATCCCTATTCATTTTTGAGCAGTTTGTAAGAGGCACTATATGGGGAATGCTAAGGCTAAGATAACAGTAGATGCAAGTTCTGACGAGTACATCTAAAATCCTTGTCAGAACAAGGTTACATTGTGCATGTTTTGTGAGAGTCAGTATGTTTCTGCCTCCCAGCAAAATGGACAAACTTAATGAGTTTTATTTTCTTGAAAGTCGGTTGATATTGTTAGCTATCTGCTAGCTGTTGGTAGATATTGTTGATATAGTTATTGTTGATAGCTGATGGGAAAACAGAGTATGTTAACCACTTATTTTCCACAAGAGACGATAAGGTAGAGTTTCAAATTTACTGATAGTATTGATTTCTTGAGCAACTTTCTCCCACTTTTGAGAAATATCTCTGTTGTGATAGTTTTTGTCTTTCATGTCCCAGAAATACCGATTCTTAAACACAAGAAATATCCATGGTGAAATAACCAAAACTGTCTAAATTCAATATCAGAATGCACAAAAAAATCAAACTCGTTTGAACGCTCGAATGGTTCTGACATTGTGCTTGTTCGGACATGCACTTTGCTGCCAAAGTAAACACTATCATTGGAAATCAAGTACTTGTTTGTTCGGATGAACTCGTCAGAATTTGCATCCACAGTAACCGTAGCCTAAGCCTAGGCTATTTCAACACTGGGCAAATATTTGATGTTCAGAGAATCCTGCATATCTGGAGCAACCTTTATAGATGTGGACACATCCAAATAACTGATACAACTTACTTATCCAACAATTTTTTTTTACCTCTATTGGCAGTGTTATTGATTTCTTAGAAGATCCGCATACAAGCGAAGGCAAATTATGGTATTGGATTTTATAATTGTGTTTATTATAAAAGTAGTCATAAACGTTCATTTCCCCCTCACCATCAACTACAAACCTGTATAAAAATACATGTGAATTAAGAATTTAAAAAAATAATAATAATAATTAAACAAAACTTACTTGACTTCCTTAACTGGTGGACCTACATTATCTACTTTGTATGTTCGTTTTTGTCTGGGTTGACCAGGAATGGGAGGAGGGAAATAAAATACTTTCAACCCCTTAATAAAACTAGTAAATGTCAATATTTCATTAGAATAACAACGTGTTGGAGGGAGAAGATTGTTAGGCGATTTTTTCATAATTTTTGCCAAAGCATCGACACAGGGGATGGGCATCGGAAATCCTCTATGTGCAACTGAAAACAAACAGAAAAGACATAACGTTTCATTTATGTCCTTCTTAGAAGGGGGTTTTATGTGAATTTTTGAAACCTATGACACAACAAGCATCTAAGACCGATTTTCTTGGCAATAAAGGGATAATTTATTACTTACCATCAATATTTAGGTATGTTTTGTTTGTGCCGATTATTGCACTTTGGAAAAACCCGTACCAAATTTGGAGACCATCTCCAAGTTCAATGACCTCTGCAGGCTGTGTGAAATAAGATCTCCCTACCTGTAAAAACCTATAAAAACCAAATCAATAAATTAGGGCCCCTAATATATATACTATATACACACAAGAAAGTGATTTCAATAATAAAGCAGTAACAAGCATAGAAAATTTCTTAATATTTAAGTGACTGCTCCAAACTTTTGACTTTATGTGATCATGCAATCTTACCCTTTAGCAGATGGCTGACGTAAAACAATATCAATCGCTTGGATAGCTTCTTGTGGAATTCTAAGCGAGCTGCCTCCAGCCATGTACTGAAAAATAGTGGCCAAATTCACTTCATTTGCAAATTTGATTGTAACAGTTATTTCTCTAGCCCTCCCGTTGTTCATCTGATCCTGAACAGTGACAGTAGACATTACAGCCTAAAAAAATCAAAGAAAAAAAATGTTTGTATTATTATAGAAATAATTAAATAAAGTCACTCATTCATATTTTGTTTTCAAGCTGTTCTTACATCACCCTGGAGGGGCAGTTTTCTGTAACTGTAAATATTTTTTCTCCCGTCGAAAGATGGATAGCAGTTTGGAAAATATTCCCTTCTGACCAGTTCCACAGCCTCTCTAGAAAATGGTTTCAATTTATTAAAACTATATTTTCATCATACATTGAGATTTTCTCAAGTTAAAATTTCTGAATAATTCTCTATTCAATAATTGATTCTAGATTTGAAAAACACAAAAGGATACTATAATCTACAAGGTTCTATACAGAATAAAATTTTAATGCCGTCAACTTCCCTACATAGACACTTCTAGTAACCAGACAATTTTATTTTCCCCTGCATTATTCCATTTGTGTTACTTATAAAAACAGTTCTAATAACTGGACATACCAATAGACTATAGATTTTTAAATGAAAAAGGCTCTTATAAGGGGATAAAAAATGGAAAAACAGCTCATCCAAAAAAGACAGATAAAAACTAAAATGTTTTGGCAAGTTTGACATGGTCAGTTTCTTTTTAAGTGGACAAAATACATTTCTCGAGTGTTGATTGTAAGTTACTACATCAATAATTTACATCAAAAAAGTTAATATGTTAAGTAATTTACAATGAAAAAGTTACTACTCAAGTAATTTACAATGAAAAAGTTAATACATGAAGTAATTTACAATGAAAAACAAATTCTACTTTACCTGTAAAATGCTCTGGGTTTTTCAGGCTCCACAGTGACATCGTAGTGATAGACAATCATATTCGATTTGTCGATGGTGAGAGCTAAATGATTTGTTTCAACGTAAATGTGTTCTCCTTTATTTTTCTTGGCTGGTCGTTCATTTCTTTTTGGAATTGTGCAAGATAGTTGCATCTGTTTACTCTCAGCGATTAATGATTCCATTGCTTTTGAATCTGCATTAAAAGCAAAAATTTATAATGGATGTAAATAAACATTAAAAAAATTTAAAACAATTACATTCAATCCATTATATTTACAAATTACATTATTTTTCTAAATTGAAAAAGGCAAAAAAGAAGGAAAATTCAAAAGGTTGTAGGTTGAGATGGGGAGTTGGGGTCCAAGTGGGTTGAAGTCATGATAGCTCAAGAGGTAGAGCAACGGTAGGGAGGGAGGGAGGAAGGGGGAGAGAGATCCCGAATGAGCCTAGAAACATTCTTTTTCGGTAACATGAGGATTTTATCTGATACAATTTGTTCTAAATAAATTTTGAACTACATTGTAAAATTTAAACTATGTTCATAATTCCCAGGCCCTGAAGATGATCTCAATATAGATCGTAACGTTGGCACGATAAAGAAAACGTTTTTCTAAAAACCTACATCACACCAGACTGCATCTCACGATCTCAAAATTACCAAATATTGAAATAAGTTCATAAAACAAGGTAGAAATAATGTACTACTGAGATACTTGCCTTGACTTGAAGCTTGAATATTGGATGCTTTTTTGGATGGAACAGCTTGGCTCTGACCACTCTGAGAATCAAATAATACACATAATATAGCTAAAGTAATTTAACATTTGAAATATTGAAAATAATTAACATATTGACATACATATTACTAGTTGAGCACAATGAGCCATTTCACAACCCTTTCCCCCCCCTCAATCAATGCAAATATAGAGAAAAGAGAAAGAATTATAGGATAAAGAAATGATTTTTTTTCTTCTATTGTATATTTGTTTTGAAAAGAAAGATTAATTTTCTCAATATTAAAGTTGTATTGGAAGGATTAGTGATTATTCTAACCTTGAAAATTTTATAGTGTGTCCAGACGCACTAATATGATAGGATCAAATTTCAAACTGTTCACTCCCACTTTAATTTTTACTACACTAGAATTCAAATCAGAAGATAAAATAGACACAGGACAAGACACTCGGAAATGGTTAGGGAGAGTATGAAGAAGGGGTAGTATGGTCACAAGAGAAAGGAGTAAGGGACACAGGTTGGAGGATACACAGTATAATAAGGTGTGCAATAACAGAAAATGAGCACAAAAAAAAGTAAATAAAGACTGAAAAACTTAACACTAATTAAAGTGGAATCTTCTGAAATTAATCTCATGTAACCGATTCTCGGAAAAACTAAATGTTGTCAGCTTTGGCGTTCTTAATGAATTTTATTAGAAATAACATATTACCCCTACAGCCGTACTTAATCCCAATACCATTTTTACAATATATCTCATTTATTCTCAATAAAACACAAGTTTCACAATTAGACTACTCTCAATACACCACAGTTCTCAAAATAATCATATACCAAATACCAAATCATGTAGGCAAATAATCCAAATTAACCGGACGGTAATCTAAAGGGCTCCTGGCTTAGGCAACTTAAAAAGGTGATTCACACACATCAGTGACATGACAGTGTCCTGGCTGGCATTTTGTTCCACCAGCGGATTTGAATGTGTTATAGGAAAGTGAATCGATTTGTTCACGCGTGAATGTGGCCGTTCCAACAGTGCTGCCCATTCACACTCGCCACTTCCTTGTATCCTCATCACCATCACCAATAATGTTTACATTATGAATAGTAAAATGGTATAATTATAATATATTATGAACAACGATTAAACTTCTTTTAAATTCCCTCCCTGTAAATGTAAATTTTGTAGTGTTCAACTTTTACATCTCGAATCCACTTGGGAAGTAACATAATTAAGAAGCAATTAATTAAGGTTTTTAGTTGAGATAAAAAAGTCAATGGCACGAGCGGAATTCGAACCCACGATCTTCGGCTAGATACGCCGCTGCTCTACCACTTGAACTATCATGACCTCAATCCACTCGGACACCAACTTCCCATCTCAATCTTTTGAATTTTCCCTCCTTTTTGCCATTTTTCAAATGTCTTGTAATCGGACTGGATTCTAGGCGACAAATGAAATGGCCACGGAGAGCTTTAGTGAAGCGTACTTCATTTTAAATCATTAAATTCGCTAATTTCGTGGTCCGCTTGACCAATTAATATATTACAATTAATTAAGGTTTTTAGTTGAGATAAAAAAGTCAATGGCACGAGCGGGATTCGAACCCACGATCTTCGGATAGATACGTTGCTGCTCTACTACTTGAGCTATTGTGACCTAGATCCAGTCGGACACCAACTTCCCATCTCAACCCCAAATTCAAAAGGTGGGGTTGAGATAGGAAGTTAGTGTCAGAGTGGATTGAGGTCATGATAGTTCAAGTGGTAGAGCAGCGGCGTATCTATCCGAAGATTTTGGGTTCGAATCCCACTCGTACCATTGACTTTTTTATCTCAACTAAAAACCTTAATTAATTGTAATATGTTAATTGGTCAAGCGGACCATGAAATTAGTGAATATAATTAAGAAGTTTATGTCTTAAATTATGCAGCAAGCAAAATTTTGCTCCATCATCCACTATTTCTTTGTAAAGTGTAGCAAATTCCCCTTCGTCCCTCTCTTCTTCCATGCTTGATGGACTCACTTCCATTTTCTTGCTTGTGGTTTCTCTTCATCCAAAATCAGTGCAACAATCAAAAGTTCATCATCATACAAAAAAGTGACATTAAACAATCAGGTTGACATAGAGGATACACTACTAAATAAATACTGCATAATATGGGTACAATATACAAGGAATAAGGCACAAGGAAGCAGGGACAAGAGTTGAGTCTATTGTGCTGGCTACAACCGTTTCAATGTTGGCATTTTGAAAAGAACAGTTTTTTTTTTCTATTCTGTTTTGTTTAAAGGGTGATGATGCTCACAAGGTGAGTGAGTGAGTGAAACGAGTTATCCATAAATAAAGGAAATTTGCTGGAACTAAAATCGTTTTTAAATGTACCTAAACAATAATATATCATTATATATACAACACAAAGAGATACAAACCTTAAAAGAAATATTCACATTTGCTTATTTTCGTTCAAACATTTAAGAGCACCTTTCTCTATAATGAAAAGTTCATTACTATTGCCTAATATAATATTTTATATACTCACAGGTGGTGGTGTTTGAGGCTGCCTTTGGGGTTGTGGTTGTGGGGAGACATGTTGCTGTTGTTGATGCTGTGGAGATATCTGCTGCTGTTGTTGAGGTCGTGGGGGGACCTGTTGCTGAGGTTGCCAAGAACCCCTTGGTTGCTGTTGTTGGGGTCGAGGTTGCCATGGGCCCTGTTGCTGTTGAGGTTGCTGTTGTTGGAGTTGTCGTTGTTGTGAGCTTTGTTGCTGTTGTTGGGGTCGAGGTTGCCATGGGCCCTGTTGCTGTTGTTGTGAGCTTTGTTGCTGTTGTTGGGGTCGAGGTTGCCGTGGGTCCTGTTGCTGTTGTTTGGGTTGAGATTGCTGTTGTTGGGGTCGAGGTTCTTGTGAGCCTGATGGTTGTTGCTGTGGAGGTTGTCGTGGGCCCTGTTGCTGTTGAGGTTGCCGTGGGCTCTGTTGCTGTTGTTGTACTTCAGATTGTTTTTCTTGATTGTTCTGAGTTGGTTTGTTCTCTAGAAAATAAAAATTGCCATTATATTGTATTTTGTCTTGCATCTTCATTAGTAAATTAAAAAAGAAATATTATAATAAGAATCGAATAAAATAAATTGACAATGAAATTCGAATTGGCCAATTTCCAACTTTGTTAAAAGTCTGCGATTTGTCATTAATGTCTGAAATACTTACTTTAATCATTTCCAATATCCTGTCACATGACAAACTTAAACAGTGAGGACAGAGAGACATCAATGATCAGAAATGACCAAATGTAAGCTAAGGGTTTAGTTGAAAGAATATCCATTTTTTAAGTATGCAGAAATTTAGGAAATTGATCAGCATTCCAAGCTAATACGTCATTTTTATCAGTTTTCAGTTTTGAAGAGCAATGTTAATTTTAATTCATTACTGTTTGCACATGGGATTGGTTAAGGCATTTTTGTTCAGGTTTCGTTTGTGATAGTGTATTTTTACAAGGTGTTTTGCTCATTTTTTTTTTTTTTTTTTTTAATAACTGCAAAGGGAAAACCGCAGCCCACAATAATAAAAAAAATTGTGAGGTGTATAGTGATAATGCTTTAGAAGAAAGCACAGTCAGCAAGAGGTTTGCACATTTATAAGCAAAAATTTTGATTGATACAAAGCAGTCTTGTTTCATTTCAATGTGCGTCATAACAACTGTCCTTATACGCATGGTGGATGGAGTCTGCGTCCTCCTGTTTATACTTTCTAAACTCTCCCTACGCTTCACTTGCTATACGGTTCTATTCGAAATTTCTAGGGCCACCTCACAAAAGGCAAAAGTGTCACTGGCTTCAATCATTTCAATTTTTTTTAACTAAAAGTGATTTTTTTAAAACATTTTACGAAAACCATGTAATTTCCGTTTCTGGGTATATGTTTGGATAGTTTAATTATTTACCCATTTTGTATGATTCAGTTAAATAAAGGAAAAATTATAGTACAAAGTTGAAATCACTTTTATTCAATTACACACCCAAGTTGGGCAACATTCTTGGGTTGCCCCTACTTCATTTCTTTGGTGCTGAGAGGGACGTAACTGTTGTGTCATATAATTTATACCGCTTAGATAAATGTAATATAAATATAAAAAAAATCATTTACATTATTTTTTCAAAGTTCCAGAGAACTTTTACATGATAAATTGGGTTCCACCATGGAAAGAACCTGGATTTTATTCGGTATATGGGTTCCTTACATGTTTACTGAGAAGAACTGGACTGCATCTGTGATTCCCTCCTAAAACGCATTTTTAAAAAGATTGATTAACTCAGGATGAAAAGTGGGTCCTTTACAATAATTATTTATGGAGCTTCTTCTGCCTAACTGGAATATTAATTCTAGTGTATACTGCACATAATTCGAATGATTAAAGTCAGCCATTTACCAAAACAACAGGCTAATTGCAAAGGTTTCTTTTCAAGTAGGACAGCACATCACAAATTGCTGCTATGCTTTACCTCACCCACCTTACTTATCCTTTTACTCCTTACTTATCCAACATTTACCCTTATTCCAGGCTTGGAAATGTGAATGTGCGTCATAGGAAAAGACTGCATCGCCTGAAGACTGCAGAAAACACACCGAGAAGTTCGTCGCTCAAAAACCTTAGAAGTTCTGGGAGAATGGAAATACAAAATTGCATGGATCATGCAACAGATAATGGAACAAAATGGTTCATTCATTATTGTTTACAAAGGCCTTAAATTTTCATTGACAACTTATTTTAGTGAACTTGTGATTATTTCAAATGGTATATACAAATGTTTCCTTTAGATGAAAAGCACTTTTATTTAAGAGTCATTTCTCCAGACTCGATTTAGTGACTACATCATTCAATACTGTCCAATCAGCAATTTTATTTAGAAAAAAAAAAGCACTGGCAATTATAACAAAAATTAATAATACTCACTTTTATTTTTTTTCCCCATTTTTTCCTCGAGTTAACACTACAAACAAGAAAACAATTAATACATGTAAAAATATTAATAACAGACATTCTCATGGATATATAGGTCTATTTAAGCATTTTACTTCAAACAGACACCTATAGTAATTACAGTTTAACCTTCGAGAGGCCACACAGGGTACAAAGTTACTAAAGTTACAAATTTAATAATTACTAATTTCAAATACAGTACGATCCTACGTGAAGCGACCACTTTAGTGCGCCTGGGCGAGATGCTAAGTAACAACAGTCAACATACATAAATTTTGGGATCAACTGCTGTAATCATTGTTGTGCTTCTTTTTGCACATTTTTTACTGTCTTAAGCCTTGAGATTTGTTTATTATTTAATGCATACTCATTTCGGAGTACCATTGGTGTTTCAGAGCTGCTAGAGCAAGAATCATACTCCAAGTATGATCGACTTGAAGCATTTGAAAGATAAACAAATCTCAAGGCTTATTTGGCGGTTTGATAATTTTTACAAGCAATAATTTTTATGTATTTCAGTGATTCCAAATGAGGTAATACTTATGATAAAATTCTAAATGTTTCGGCAAACAGATTCATTACAATTATTATAAATGTCATGAACTTTTGTACCAAAGATGCTAGCACTGCCTTGTAATCCGTGGCAAAAGGCGACCATCTTTATTTTGCAAGAATAAATCCAGCAATTCCAAATGGTTACGATAAAATTTTAGCATAAGTCGTCAAGTTTACTATAGCCTACTTTTTAGCTTTTTTAACTATTTTATAAATATAGAATAATACAGGCCTAGAAACAACATTAAATACAGTGAATTTAGTGGACTTTAAAATGGATTGGATTGGACATTATTATTCAACTTAAAGCCAGGTGGAAATGTATTAAATACCATCCTAGATTCAGATGAAACCTGCTTCAACAAGATGATTAACTCATGATTTGGCAAGGTTGACAAAATTTCACCATTTTCAACTTTTAATCATGCAAAACCCACCACTGAATACGACAAGGCGAAACCCATCTGACAGACCAAAACAACAATGATAGGCAGATCAAAACCATTACAAAAGGGCTAAACTGCAGATTCATTAAGCAGGCCTCTCAAATTTTGTACAAAAGTGAAACAAAAAATCCACTGAGTTTCATCAAATCTGCATTGCCAAAATGACAGACCATACTCCTACAAAAAAAAAATTGTATTTTTCAAATAAAAAATTTTACCCTCTGCTAGCCGATATCAACTGATATTGCATTCGCTCGTTCGACGTCACGTTTCAGCTTGTAACTTAAACGATAATAGTTTGACTCGTTCAAACTTGTCTTGATCAATTAAAAAAAGTTCAACTCTTCCTCTCTCCTTTTTTTTTTTTTTTTTTTTTTTCAGGGTTATCTTTCAACTCAGAAAATGCCTTCATGCCTTTCTCAGATATTATATAAACACTGATAAGACTGAATTTTTTTTTTTTTTTTTTATTATTATTGTTTTCAAGTCTTGCTATTGGTTCAATTTTCTTTTTTTAACATTCTACCTGCCTAAGAAAAGCGCAAACTTTCTAGCTTTAAACAATTTTATTACTAAACATCGGTAAGAGCTCATTGTAATTCAGCCATTCAGCTTGATAGAAATTTGATTTAATCCAACGTTTTACAACATGGAAGAATTAGATTTTTCTTAAGTACATTTTACAAAAATATTTTTAAAAAAATAATAATAATTGCACTAGATGATGCAATTACAAGTTGAAACGGTAGATGAGCTAATATGACTCTCTGCCATATAAGCGAACAAATCATATAATGATAAAACACATAACCAAATAACACGATACGGCGTAATATTCATATTTACCGAAAAATACTAATCTTTTATAAATTGTAAAATAACGTGCTATTTAAACATCTGATATTATAAATGAGTTATAGATCAGAAGAATGAAAGGGCTAGAGACGTGATAAAAAATGTTGACTTTTCGCATAACATAAAAAAAAATTTAAAATAAAAAACAGCTATTTTCCAAAAAAATACACTTACAGAAAAGATTGAAACCTAAAATGATCAAACAATTTTCAAAACTGGTGTATTTGTCAAAAAGTACTTTGTGTAACCGACGTGTCCTTGGCTAGGACAGATCAACGAGTTGTAACTGAACAAGTACTGACTTTGACTGACCTCAGGACCTGATGGCTGACACTCGTCCCGAGACCTGGTGAGTTTTGTTGAGACTGCACTTCAAATCCGACCAATTGGAAGAGGAGCAAAGTACGGCGGGATTGGCCTCGTCCTTTCAAATGGTAAAAATTAACAAAAAAAGTTGTTTTAAGCCGGCGAGTCGCTTTAAGGAATCATAGATTGGTAGAATCGTAGAAAAAGATCCAGTTGATAAGTAATAAACTCATTACATACATATGTTAACAATTTCAGTGCAACATACACTTTGTCTGAGAATATTTATGTTGTAATGTTTTTTTTTAAGTATTTCCTGTCCTCAGAGGAAAGTTGTAAGGACTTCATTTTGTAAAATTGATGGTGTCGGTTCCTAGAGTTTTTGCTAGGTCAAAATTTTCCCCTTTGACTCCTGCCCTCAAGTCTGATGTTAGATCTGTCGTTTTTGTTATTTGACATGGTCTGTCAAATTTTTTCTTTTTAATTTTGTATTGTTTTTCTGGCTAAATCATTCAATTTAGTTTTTTTAAAAATTTTATGATGGCTTACTTTTAAGCCTAACTGTCGTATGCCATCCTCTGGATCCCAGTGTTAATTCGATTGCTTTGGCTCTCTGAGAATATTAATATTTTAGTTTTTTTAATGTATTTCTGGCCCATAGAGGTCAATTATGTGGATTTCTGCTTGAAAAATTGATTGTCCTTGAGGTTTTGCTAGGTCAGAATTTGACCCTTTGACTCCTGTCCTGAACTTTTATGCTAGATCTGTCATTTTTGTTACTTTAAATGGTCTGCCAAAATTTTTCTTTTTAAAATCATATCACTTAATTTTTTTTACATTGTTCTAGCTAACTGACTCTTGTTTTTTTAGTTTTATGATGACTTATTTTATAGCTAACCTTCGTACGTCATCCTATGAACTCCAGTGCCAAAGCTATACAGTTGCATATCGGCTCATCTGAGCCTGAGAATATTTATTTTTAATCTTTGTTTTAGCTTTTCATATTATTTAAATTGGTAAAAATTTTTTCACTTGTTATGTTTAGCAATATTGTTCCATTTTTAAGAAATTTTACATTGGATTGAGGGCAGTAGTAACTGGGGTCTAAACCCCAAAATAACCCTATGGCCACACACCAGTGTCATAAGACCAATGTTGACATGTTGACCAATATGTGGTGGACTCTTCAGGCTAACGCAATAAGGCTGCTATGTGGCACCCAAAGACAAGTGTGTCTTAGTGTCACCGGTGCCATCAGCACAACGACAACTGCAGCCCTGGAAGTTTTGTTAAACCTCCCACCACTTCACATTTTAATTCAAGGAGAAGTCAGAGCAGCAGCCCACAGGATCATAATTGGATAACCATCTGCTAGGATAGGCCATGTGAATAAACAATGGAAACTGAGGGAAGAGATGCAAATGCCATTCTAGGTATGCCAACTGATGCCACTACTCCAAAGTATAACTTCAACAAGAAGTACAAAGTACTAATACCAGAACGGGAAGAATGGGCCAAGGGTACTAAAGGCAATTCCTACTGGCATACTGACGGCTCCAAATCCGACAAGGGTCCGGGAGCTGGGGTCTTTGGGATGAACCCCAAAACTGAACTGGTGGTAAACCTAGGCAAGTATGCTACAGTTTTCCAGTCTGAAACCATAGCGATCAAATAATGTGCCAGAGAAATAAAAAGGCTAGGAATACATTCCCAGAAGATAGCCATTTTCTCTGACAGCCAGACAGCTCTCAGGGCCTTAGCCTCATGCGAGGAAAAGGCAAAGAGTGTTCGGAAATGCATGGAGGCCCTGACAGAAGTTAGCGACACTAGTGACCTGACCCTGGCATGGGTCCCTGCACATTCGAGGCATGGAGGCAACAAAAAGGTTTGACATATTGGCCAAAAAGGGATCCAACATGGACTGTATGGGCCCAGAACCCTACTGTGGCCTAGCTGCCTGCCACAAAAGAGGATACATCTAAAAATGGATGCTTAATGAGGCCAAAATCTGGTGGAACAATACCACAGGTATGAGGCACGTGAAAAGATTCATAGAAGGACCATCCACAAAACTTACAAAAGAATTACTGGAAACAAACCAAGATTCTGGTTGGACTCCTGACAGGACATTGCCACTTAAGAAAGCACATACACTGGATAGGAGTACAAACAGAAGAAACACTGTGCAGATATTGCCAGGAAGAGGAGGAGACTGCAGAACACATTTTATGTTTCTGCGAAAGTCTATGTAGGTGCAGGTTCTTGCAACTAGGACAAGAAAAACCACAAGCAAGATCCTACACCAAGGAACCACTGGCAAAGCTGTGGAGGCTGGTTAATAACCTGAAGCTGGCCAGTGAGTTTTAAATAACAGAGGAGCACAATAGATCTTTTTAGGTCGAGGTGCAGGAGGTCTTGTGGCCGCCTCTCTTATCCCTATCCGTATCCCTGAGGGCAGTAGCTTTTAATAAATCTGCTTGTTTTTTTAGCCCTAATATGAGGGTTTTTTTATTGCTAATAATTCTGAAGTGAAGTTGTTACATATTGATGGAAGTTTAAATTTGTAAATTTGATGGCCATGAAAAACTACGGCACCAACTCCATTGTTGGATTTGGATCCGTCAGTGTGGATAAAATCAGCATCAAGTTTGCTTTTAACTCTTGGGAATTCCTGTTCATGTATTGATGTACTGCTGAGATAATGGGGTGTGGGAGAGTCCAAAGTTGAATGGGTGAAAGTAGGTGTTTTAGTATTTCTGTGAGGTTAACGATTGTTCTTTGGAGATCGTGAGGTGTGATCTCCTAATAATCATTGGCTAACAGACACACCACACGTTAACGATTGTGTTTTGTGTATATGTCAATACTCTGATTGGAAATGTTTTAGGTTATTGCGAGGGAGTAGAGATGATTATGGTACAGGAGGTCTTTTAGGGATCTGTAGGATCGTGGCGGTTCACTGGCATCTACATTTTTTTTTTCTGGGAGGTGAGTGGGTCACAGCCCAGGACCCCTTGACAGTGGAAACCAGGCCCCCCCTGCTGTACCACGTGCTTAAACTTGATTTAGGACAGATCGTTCAGAGGTGTGTGCATGTGTGTGGGGCCGTCCACACACCTCCACCATCTGGGGCCTCATAATGATCCAAAAATCCAAGGGGCACATACCCCACCTCACCCATGGCACCACCACCCGACGGGCATAAAATACAGATTATTGCATAAAATGAGTATTCTTTTGTATTAAATTATTTTATCTTCATATTTCAGAAATTAGTTTAGTTTTTTTTAGGAAAGTTAGTAGTTTGTCTATTTGGTCGGGGTCATCACCAAGCGAGTCTTCGGTGCGGGTTGGAATTTCCAGCCGATGTCTTCCTCTTTCATACTTTTTTGTAATTTGTCAAAATGTGTTTAACTGTTACCCTTTCTGCACAAACAGCACAAAGCGGAGTATCTTTTTTTTGCCATGAGATAAGAATGAGTAAGCCTAAAAAGATCAATTGTGAGCCTAGCAAGGACATCTTCTTCGTGTCTGGAACCCCTTTGAGATAAGGCCCAAGGTTTCACACAGTCTTTTATCTCTCGAAGTTGACATTAGAAGTCGTTTCCCATTCCTTTTGCCATAGCTGCCAAGACTTTCTTTTATGCCAAGCTGTCACATCGGATTTTGGTGTTTTTGTAATTTATCTCCATTAAGGACAGCCTGCTTTGCCAAATGGTCCACCGTCTCATTACCAAATATTCCACAGTGTCTAGGAATCCACATGAATACTACACTCTTTCCATGATTTTGCAGTGGCAAATAGCATGTCTTGTATTACTGGATGTACAGAAAAGTTGTTTTTGAGTGCCAATAGCACCGACAAAGAATCAGTACAGACGACTATCGTTTTCCTGAATGGGGCTAATATAGTTTAGCACTGCTATTGCTATAAGCTCAGCAGTGTAGCTGCTACATAGTACATACAGGTGGTAGGGCAAACATAATACATATAATGAGCATTATTATTGCAAGTGAAGAAAGCAGTACTTGTCCCTACATCATTTTTTGAGCCATCTGTAAAACATAGTGTTGGATTCGAAAAGGTATCTATTGTTTTATAAAATTCTTGACTATACATGTAGGGGGGAGTATTCTGCTTTAAAAATTTAATAAGGTCTACCTTCTAAGCATAAATTAAGCTTCGAAAGCAGCCAGGGTGGTTTGGGTGAAATTCCGATTTTATAGAGAAGAGGGATCGCAGCAGTGGATTGGAAATGCAATTGGGAATGAGCAGCCACTCTAGATGGAAAATGTTTTCGTTGAAAAAAAGCGAAAAGCTTTTAAAACTTTAAAAAGTTCTCAGACCTGTTTTCGAACTTTTTCGACACCTCGCCAAGTGTGGATTGAAAAAAGTTTTAGTATCGAACGAGGTATCGATACAATTTTCTACCTAAGTCCAAAGTCCAAACCGTACTGAGGAAGGTTTAAAGTTGCTGATCGCGGTTCTATTTGATATCAACCCTTTTTCTTATCAAATATCATTTGGAAAATTAAGTAAAACTTGTTTAAAAAAATACAATATGAAAAAATACGCAACTTCGCCCAAGAGGCTTTACGACGTTATTATTGCCGGTGGAGGGATGATCGGCTCAACTATGGCCTGTTCTCTAGGTATGGCCTATGAAATTTAATGTCATTCAATGTCTTCTGTGTGATACCTGTATTTTGGTCGGTTCCAATCATTTATCTTATTTAGACTATCAGATTTATTTAAGCTGAGTAGAATCTGAAATTGCAAAGGACAAAAAAGCTTTTGTTGACTTTGCATGGATCGGAGTACGACCTGTTTACACTGCGAAGGATGCCGTAAGATTCCTTATGATGAGCTTGCTTTAATGGCAAATCATTTGGACTATCTTGCAATCTGGAAGTTTTTTTATATATAAAATGAACGTTAAAAAAACTTATTTTTAATATTTGTATCAACTCGATCCCAATTGGTTTATTGCTCAGTGTAGCCTTCATGCAGAAGGAACATTGACACCCTGAGTTGTAGACCTTGGTTGTACTGGATAATGTCATTTCTTTTCTTTTCGGTTTTTCACATTTAGGGCCCACTTAAACTCCCTGCAATATCTGCGATTAGAAGCTGAAATTGCAAAGGACAAAAAAGCTTTTGTTGACTTTGCATGGATCAAAGTACGACCTGTTTACACTGCGAAGGATGCCGTAAGATTCCTTATGATGAGCTTGCTCTAATGACAAATTATTTGGACTATCATGCAATCTGGAAGAGTTTTTTTTTATATATAAAATGAATGTTAAAAAAACTTATTTTTAATATTTGTATCAACTCGATCCCAATTGGTTTATTGCTCAGTGTAGCCTTCTGGGTTGTAGACCTTGGTTGTACTGGATAATGTCATTTCTTTTCTTTTCGGTTTTCACATTTAGGGCCCACTTAAACTCCCTGCAATATCTGCGATTAGAAGCTGAAATTGCAAAGGACAAAAAAGCTTTTGTTGACTTTGCATGGATCAAAGTACGACCTGTTTACACTGCGCCGTAAGATTCCTTATGATGAGCTTGCTTTAATGACAAATTTTTTGGACTATCATGCAATCTGGAAGTTTTTTTTATATATAAAATGAACGTTAAAAAAACTTATTTTTATTATTTGTAGCAACTCGATCCCAATTGGTTTATTGCTCAGCGTAGTCTTCATTCAGGAGCAATGTAGATACCCTGGGTGGCAGATCTTGGTGGATAAAGTTGTTTCTCTTCTTTTCAGTTTTTCACATTAGGGCCCAATTAAACTCCCTGCAATATCATGTGATTATAATCTGAAATTGCAAAGGACAAAAAAAAGCTTTTGTGGACTTCGCATGGATCGGTATACGACCTGGTTACACTGTGAGCGGTGCCATAACAGTATGATGAGCTATCGAGCATTAAAATTGGCCTGTTATTTCCATTTAAAAAAAAAAGGTTAATTTCTGATAAATGATTTTTTTGTGTTTTCTTATAGAAATATTTCATATACTTTAATGCTACATACATCATTAAATGCTACATTCCTCTTTTTCAAGTGGACTGCTCGACATTAAAATACTTTTAGCTGTTTTTGAATTATAACCATTTCAATCAGATATTCCAAAAACGAGTTCTCAAAAATCAGAAAAATTAGGGTAAAAAAAAACGATAAATCACAATTGTTTTATTGCTCAGCATAGCCTTCATTTAGCCGGAATGTTGACACTCTGGGTTGTAGATCTTGGTGGTACCGGATAAAGTCGTTTCTGTTCTTTTCTGTTTTTCACATATAGGACCCATTTAAACTGCCTACAAAATTATGCGATTGACTTGCTGAAATTGCAACAAAAGAACCTCTCTTTGACTTTGTATGGATCAGCGTATGACCTGTTTACACTGCGAGTAAAGATGTTGTGATGAGTTTGCTTTAATCATAAACCATTTTGCCTTTCGTGCAATCTGGCATGCTTTATTTAGTCATAACCTGTACTTTAAATCAGTAATTTTTAGTGTTTGCAGCAACCCAACTACTCTTCTGATACCTATTCTCTAGTCATGCCGGTTATCTCCCTTGAAGAGCAGTCATATTAGGGAAAAAGTGTTTAACTAAATAAATGTTCCAGTTTAACGTATGGCTCTTATCTATATTAGAATTTATTGATTAGCTAGCATGGGAGGAACATTGTCGCTCTGGGTCGTAGATCTAGGTGGAACTGGATTGCTGAAAGACCTGACTCTCCGAACTCAGATGGACTAACAACTACTACTTCATTTTGTCCCTCCACACTCTATACCTGACTAATTACAGACTCATTTTCATTATGACTATCGTATCCTTCAGCCAGGGGCAGCCTCGTGTTGTAACTTTGTATAGAGTGGACCCTGGGTGTTTCATAAGTCCTCGCCCCATGAGCCTTGGATGAGCCAGCTGTTTTTGTACAGTTCAACTATTTACTGCCAAGTACCTAATTTTGTCTCTTTAACTTGATCAGTTTCTTTTATTGTGTTAGTTTGCAATTTTCCTGAAAGGATCCTGGTGTTTTATTATTTTATTATATGTTATTTTTGTATTGGACATTGTTTTGTTTTACATAATGTTCTGTGTGGATTTTTGTCGTATACGATTAATGTATATTCACCTTGCAGACTTCGAAAATACATCTAAACAAAAATCCACGACTAAAGGCAATGAAAAGCAGAATTACAACTGACAGAAAATTATATGAAACAACCAAATCTTTGGATGTTTTGTTGATTTTCAACCAATTTTGTGTGTATGTGTGTGTGTGTGTGTGTGTGTGTGTGTGTGTGTGTGTGTTTGTATGCAGGGGCTGATGATGACACTAATCAATAAGTTGAATTTTTTTTCCTTGTTACAGGAAAAAACCCAGCGTTCAATCATTTAAAGATTGGTTTAATCGAAGCAGCCCCTAAGCGTAAATATAATCTTCAAGATGTGCCTTTGAACCGTGTTTCTTCGTTAAATCCTACGACCAAGGATTTGTTGTCACGCCTCGGAATCTGGCAACACATACGCCGTTCCTGCAAAGTGAATAACATGAAGGTGTATAAATTAGATGAGGATGCATTTTAAAATTATCCAGTTTAATCATAATTTTTTTTATAGGTTTGGGGATCTTATTCAAATGACAGCATAAATTTCGCCGGGAGCGAACAGGAAGTCCTGGCTTACATTGTTGAAAACGATGAAATTATCCATGCCATCACAAAAGAATTAAACAAATTAAACAACGTTGATGTTATTTATGACGCTAAAATTAAAACGGTCGATTTAAACAGTAAAGAACGTCCGACGATGCCTCGATTGATTCTTGAAGACGATGAAAATTATTTGTGCAAACTGCTTGTGAGTTTTCTTTCCCTAACAATTGTTATGCAAGAAAATGTTTATTGTTATGCCAACGTAAAAATATTCAGCATTCAACCTCTCCCTAATTTTTTTTCTCAGTATTTTCATCGACTTTTCAATATGTTTATACTTGCTGATTAAGAAAGGATTAAATCATTTGATATTTTCTTGAGTTTAATTCTCCAGTTTGGCTACCATGCAGGGTGATACAGAAATTGGGTCATTACTGATCATTTTGGTCTGCCTATCCTCACTTAGTAGACTGTTTATGTTTTAATCATTCTCTGATCACCAAAAATGACCTAATAACAGGTCCATCGCCCTGCATATTCCAAATCTCTTAAGAAGAAAATACAAAGTGTCTGATATGAAAAAGTTATTTGTAAAACTAGATTTGTTTCTAAGAAAATTAAACTCACTGGGATTCTGACACTTACACGACTACAACTTTAATTTAAGGGGACAAGGTGATAGACTCTCGGCTTGTAAACCCAGTGGTCGTGGGTTTGATTTTGTATATTTCATTAAAAACTGATGAAGTGACTTGATGAAGCAGTACAACTAGACTACAACCAACAAATATACCACTTTATGTCAGAAAATTAATAACTTATAATCGATGAACTCGAGCCAAATGTCAAAGTACAAGACCTCATGAACTTTATAACAAACTAATCACTAAATTAAAAATTGCACTGTGCAAACTAACAAGGGGATGACCATATTGGTGGCTCAAGGATTTGCCACCACTTCTTGTGAATAGGCCCTGTTGTTTTTGAGTAGGCTTTAGACAACGTTGTGAACGCGATTCCGCATTGTGGGGAATTTTCCCCTGGCTAATATAACATCCACTTTTGTATATACTTTTACATTTCTCTGGTCCTTGCGAATATTACATCGACTTTTTTGTGAAACCTTGAGGGCTGCACTTTCAGGTGTCATCGGTTCCTTGCTGTCTTAGAGATGTGACCATTTCTTCAGAAAGAGTGTTTTAAAAGGCTTCATCAATATCCAAGAAAGTTCCTAACATTCAGTAAATCTTACATTTTTAAGTCTAACGCAGTGCAAGCGTGAAGGAATAAATATTCCTTTTTTTAATTATTATTATTATAGATAATTGCTGTTTTTGTAGGTTGGTGCAGATGGTCCCACATCAAAAGTGAGGCAGGCCATGAATGTTAATCAATTAAGATGGAATTATAATCAATGTGGGGTGGTGGCAACGCTGCAGATTCAAAATGTAAGAAGTTGGCTACTTTAGTGTTGATGGGGGGAAAAAAATATGAATCTACATAAAATATCGATGTCGTGTTTGTAACTGTCTTTTTATTTATTTATTCATATTTTATTTTTAGGAACCAAAAAACAACACATCCTTTCAAAGGTTTTTACCCCATGGACCTATTGCTTTGCTTCCAGTAAATAAATAAGAGAATAAATGAATAAAATAAAGGTTGGAAAGTAATCTGTCTTTATTGCAGCTCGATGAAGATCACAGTTCACTCGTTTGGTCGACAACGCCTGAAAAAGCAAAATCGCTTTTACAGATTCCCCCAGATGTCTTTGTCGATGCAGTTAACGACGCATTTGTGAGTATAATTGGCAGTTCATTCACCTAACACATTTTCCACCTAAACAGAGTGTAAATTATAATAATTTACTTTAATTGTAATAATCCGCTAGAGGCAAATGAACCATTCAAGGATCCCAAAGGAGAGGACACCATCCAAGCTTTTATGTCCTTCTAGATTGTAATTTATTTTTATTAAAAAAGTGGTTGATTTTCTTTAAAAATGTCATTAACTTGTTTATTAATAATGGTGTCACCTTCATATGTTTTACACTTTGTTAGAATATGAAATATAAACCTGTAAAGTAAAATTCTTGTACTTTTGAGATTTTTTTTTACAAAAAATTATAGCTTTTTTTCATCAAATTAACCCTTATCAATTTGAAATCAACTCTTTTCTGCACCAAATTCATCCATATCCTAAGTTGTTTTAATGTTTTAAATAAAGAGTTAATTTGATATTAAAAATGGTCAATTTGGTGTGAAAAAGGGTTAATTTCAAATTAAAAAGGGTTTATCTGATGGAAAAACTATATATCTTTGTAAAATTAATGCTTGGTTTATGAAGACCAGTTTTAATAAAAGGACTAAAAAAATATAACCCAATTAAACATATTTGATTGTGTTGTCATATTAATTTGTGTTAATCAGATTATAACAGAATTGTTTTGTTTTCTCCTCTATTTTTAGAACAAGGAGCCTATAAAGAATAGTACAATCGACTCTCTGAACAGTTTGGCCTGCAATTTAGTCAAAATATTGCCAGTATCAAAAAATTACTATAAATCGGAGTTGCCAAAGATTTACAACGTCATCGAATCTAGTCGGGCATTATTTCCGTTAGGCTTTGCCCATTCATCAGAATATACAGTCCATAATGTAGTCATTATAGGGTAAGTGTTACTATTTATGAAAATAGTAAAAGTTAATTTGAAAAGTGAAAAAAAAGAAAAAAGGTTTAGAACTATAATAGAAACAGGTTTAGAACTATAATAGAAACAATATATTTTGTTTTTTGGGGTGTCGGTGGCCGCAACGGTTTAGGCGTTGACTCGGTGCTCATCACTGTAAGGTAAAGGTCCCGGGTTTGAATACAGCAGCCCTGTATTCGAACCCGACATATTTACAAATGGGCTTTTTTTCTCAAAAACATCGGCACCCCGAGGGTTGATATAACCTCTGCTGTTGCAAACCCTCGCTTAAAAAAAAGAAAAAAAAATATTGTCATTAAAGATAGGCAAAATTTCCAAATTATGAATTAATAAAAAATAAATTAATTTACAAAAAGAAAATCATTTTCATAAGTAGATCTTAAAAGAATCCATTTTTTTTCTTAAATATTCTGCAGGGATGCAGCCCACAAAATACATCCATTAGCAGGCCAAGGTGTAAATTTGGGATTCAGAGATATTCTAATATTGACAGATGTTCTGTCGAAGGGTTTACAAGAAGGAAGACCTCTAGGTAATCTTCAATTGGCCACAAAGTTTAAGTCTCACAGCTTAGTGTTCTTATTCCTAGGTGACACGCAGGATTTGAGGATTTATGAAGGACAAAGTCAAAAATCAAATGTACCAGTGATGGCGGCCGTTGATTTTATTCACCACGTTTATACATCGAATAAAGAACTTGTCCAGGCATTCGGCAACTTTGGTTTTCGGGTTGCTGAAATTCCTGGTATAAAGGTTAAACAATTTATTTCCATACTATTTTTTTTAATCCATCAGGCACTATTTAAATGATATTATCGCATCCTAAATATGGTTGCCAATAACTGCTGAAAGCACGCTGAGGCTTACGGTCTTAACTAAGTTAAGCCCTCAGCTATATATACGTACACGTTTGGGGTAATTTTTTTAAGGATTGTCTATCAGTGACCTATCATCGGCTACCACAGGCTGGTGTGCAGTGGAGGAGATGGTAGTGGTGAGGGATGGCATTGGGAGCAGCTATTTCTCTTGCGTCAAACAGTCTGCCTGTGCAAACAAGGTGTATAGTAAATTCCAATACTGCACTGTAGAACAATGTCTCATTGTATATGAGCCAAGATTGCAAAAGGACTGGTCAGCTGTCCCCTCTGATGGCAGCCATCTTTACGACCTCTATAGTGGGCCATTGTGTTGAGCAGGCAACAGGGAGCCCATTGTTTATCAGTGTGTGACCCAGGGCCTGGTCACCACTGATGGCAACCATCTTAACCATACATGGGTGTCAGAAATATTTCGAACATAATCATTGCGAGATTTTGATCCATCTGTGTGTAGTATTGTTACAGGTGAACACTATCCTTTTTCAATGAAATATTTAATGGAATCTGGGATGACAGTTGATACTTATATGACAGTTTCTTGCAGTACTTCCGCATAACTCACAAAAGGCCACGTCATCTGTAAAAAGAAATTTTCCTTAGATAATTCTTCTAAATGCATAAGTATATGAACCAGACCTCGAGGGTCCATCATCCACATCAAATAAACGTAGTTTTTTTAATAATTTTATTTATCTTAACACAAAAAACACCCAAAAAATTAAATTGTTCCTTTATCATGATTATTAAAATAATATAAAAGAAATTACCGTGTGTGAACGATAATATGATTGTGTCATAGAAAGTCCTTTAATATTTTGTATGTCCTCCTTTGGCTTTCAAAACTTCATCAGTCCTTCTGGGCATACTTCTCACGAGATTGATTTCTATACTGTTCCGGATCAATTAGGTCCCATTCAACTTGTGTTTTTTCCCAAAGTTGATCGAAGTTTGAAGCGTCTCCTGCAGCATCAGCTAAAGATTTTTAATATTTCCCCACAAGTGGATTAAGGTTAGGTGACTGTGGGGGCCATTCCATGACATTAAAACCACAATCAGCAAGCCACTGTTTTGTCACCTATGGTTTCTTCACTTTTCCCATCGCTCTTAATCCGGCATCTTCGTTTGTTTCAGCACTGACATCCACACTATCATTATCACGCGGCCTTCGCTGAATTTGGATAGCATTGTCAACCTGTCCTGATCGAACGGAGCGTAGATACAAAGCCACAAGATTTTGGCCTTGGAAAATTTTGTTTTATGACCATTCCTCTTCTTTTTAAAACAACTATCGTAAATTCCGAAAGATCTTTTAGGTTTTGTTATTACCACAATAACAACAATTTATACTTTTTTGAAATTTCACGATAAGGAAGTCCTTCTTGTAGAGATTTTATTATTTGATCTTTCAAAAATGTTGAAAATGGCTTCATACTGTAATTAAACGAATAGATCATAACCATTAAGGAAAGGAAATATTTTCAATATGTAAGAACAATAACTGAATTGATGATACCTGATAACAAATTTGAGACGAATTATTGAATGGTTTTTGCGAAATTTGCAATGAAGTAACCTGAGTCACAAAACTGTTCACACGAAAACTCGTAATAAACTGGCTCAATTCAAAGGTATAAACATAAATAAAGATTATTAGGGTGAATGTTTGTTTACCAACAGTTCAACAAACTCAATCCTATTGCTGTTGTCTGGATTAAAAAATACGGGATTTACAAACTAGAGATAATAGAAAAGTGTTTACTGATGGTTCTGAGACATTAATCTTATAAACTTTCTATTAATATTGTGAAACCTAAATCACATAAATTATAACAAATTAAAAATTGTTTATAGCTGCATACATCATTAGGAATATATTAAATAATAAATTTTTTTTCAGAGTTTAATGAAAAATTTTGCCAGTTGATCTCATCTACCTCAGCGTCCGTACAGTCATATTTGAGCTACAATCAATTTTTGTTTATAAAAAAAAAAGAAAAAAAGAAGAGATGAGTAATTAAACAGTTGTCAAATAAAATATGTACTTTTGATGCTTGAGTATTGTTTTATTAATAATAAAATGTATATAATTTTTTTTATTTATTGCCGAAGTAACACGAGATTGGGTTATTATTGTTTTAAATTTTTCCCCATTCTTCCTTTTTTTTTTTACATATCCAATGTTTCACAGCTGCTTTTTTAGACATGAAACATGCTGATCAAATTTGTAAGCAGGGCAGGCTTTCTCTTCACTTCACCTCATCAATAGGCACATTCAGACAAGTTGGAACATCTCCCCCGTCCACTATGCCAATGGGGTTCCGCAAGGCAACATCTTCGGTCCCATTCTTTAAGGACACCTAAATCCTGTAGCAGCCTTCAGAAACCTTCAGGGGCTTCTGTTTGGAAGGGTTCAAGAAAAACATCTCTGTTCTTCCAGCAACCAATGTCCGCTATTTGAGACTTCACAATGACAAAAGGTGGCAATTGCTACTCAACTGTAAAGAATATCTGAACAGATGATATAAACTACTCGAAAGACAAGCATCACCAAAGTGAATACCCACGGGTTGTGTCTGAGTTCGAAATCTCTCCTATACCAGGATATGCTTGTTTTTTAAGATCGTGCTCGTCAAGGGGTAGTCGCCTTGGCCAAGAAACCCTGTGCATAGCCGAGAGTATGCTGTCTCTGGGATTCTCAGCTTGCAGCCAAGCGGTTTGTTGAAAGAAGTATGTATATAATTGTAATCACACATTTTTTTTGTCAAATTTATTTATATCAATTTTTGTTGGTCACATTAAAACTATATTAATACATTCTATTACTAGTTGATGAGTAAAACAATATTCCTATAATAAAAAAATATTTAAATAAAAGATCATTTATGTTATTTATTAACTTTTAAAATGTTTGTCTAAAAAATTCATCAGATCGTATGCGTTGTTGAGGGAATCCAATTCAGGATCCTGAAAATTTCAAAAAGCAATAATCATTACACTTTATACATCTTTTAATAAAAATATTTAAATTGTACCGTTTCATTGAAGATATCATTTGTAAAGGCGTAATCTTTCTTTTCGTAAATTGCTGCAAACATTTCGTTCCTGTTGTTTAAAAATAACTGGAAAAAATAATGCAGTTCTGTTAATCAAGCCCGTTTAAATGATATATGTTCATTTAGGCAAATAAAACGTAATTACCACCAGAATCGACAAATTATGTCTATTTTAATAATCTCTGATCGCATTAGATCTTCGATATACTAGGACTTACAATATGGATGTAATCATAAAATAATTACAATGTGAATCTAAATTATCACTGCAATGGTGTTAAAGTGGGTATTAGAGGAAAAAACTTAAAATATACGAATCATGGAGTGGTGATCCAAAAAGTTTCAATGAAATAAATGGCAGTACTTCTCAGCCAATAACCTAATTGGAATGGTCCGTGAAGAATACATAGCTGTCCAGGGTAGATATTTTTATTCAATTATTTTATGTGAAGGCCCAGTTTCATATCAGAAATTAGCTTATTTGGGTTGATTACGTTATTTGTTGGTCGTCTATTAAATCTGAATTTGCATATCCTAACATAGCCTAATTTCAGCTATGGAAGTGCTCTAAGGACAAAATGAAATAACACCTGACCAAAGAGAAAGCCATAAAATCCTAACAAGGATAAAAATAAATCAAATGGATACAAAACGTCTCGACAAAATTATATTAAAAGAAAATTTTGAATAAAACTAACTAGAGATGTTTTGGAAGAATAAAAACCCTGAAATGAACAGAGGGGACTTAAGGTACACAGATGGGGGCAGGAGGCAACTCTATGAACAAGAAATACTTAAAAAAGGATTAAAACCTAATTATTCTTAGACAGCCAAAGCAATGGAAGTGGCACTGGGATCCTTAGGATGAAATACGAAGGTTAGGCTTAAAAGTAAACCATCATAAAATCCTAAAAAAGACCAAAAATGAATGAGTTAGGTACAATATGAAATTAAAAAGAAAAATGTTGACAACCGTATCAAATATAAATACCAACAGATCTAGCATGGAACCTAAAAAGATTAGGAATTTAAAAAAGATAAATCAATAATACACTGCTTTTTGTGGGCATATTTTAATAAATATTCTGTAAGCAAAGTAAGTCAGAAAATGGTCCAAACCTGAATTTGACCTCATTGTGGTGATTCTAGCGTTATAAAACCCTTCGATACCGACTTTTGTGGAAATCTGTGTAAATTAATTTTTTTGACAGGTAATTTTGATGTGCTTCTATGCTTGACTGACATTCCTAGTAGAAGTTTTAACATCATTTTTCTTAAAACTTGGTTAACCAATTTTTGTGGTTGAAAATTTCATTTTAAAGAAATTGTAAAGAGCATTTTATAACTGTATCAAACATCAAAATTGGACTATTATTTCCATTTAAAAAATGAGGTTAATTTCTGACAAATAATTTTAATATTTTGTCAATTTTCTTATAGAAAACTTTTATATATTTGTACGGTACAAACATCGTTAAAAAGTTACTTTCCTCTACTTTCAAGTGGTCTGCTTGACGTTAAAATCCTTTTAGCCATTTTTGAATTATAGATGTTTAAATCAGATATTCCGATAACACTTCTTAAAAAATTGAAAACAAATTTAGGGGTCACATGTATGTAAATATAGATAAATTTAAATTCCAACAAAAATTTATATTTAGGTGTCTCTAGAGACAAAATAAAACAAAATTTCATATTAATTTCACGAAAAAAATTATGATCATTTATTAAAACAAAAAATTGGTTTTTAAAGTTTTTGGTTATTGATAAACTTTGATATTTTCACTATATTTTTATTGCAATCTACATAAAAAAATGCTTTAAAATGATATTCACATAGTTGATTTGAGCAAATAGAACGGTTAAAATATTAATAAAGAATAATAAATAAAAATATTAAGAATAATAAAAATATTAAAAAATGGAAAATTTCATCTTTCAAACCAAATCTTTTAGGCAGGCAAAACCAGGTCCTATTCACAAGAAATGGCAGATACGTGCCCAACATAATGGAGGGTAGAATCACAAAAAAAATTTTGGTTCAAATCTGTGTAACATCAACCTAGTCGTCCCCTTGTCAGACGATCAATCCGATTACTTTGACACTCGGATCAATAGGATGGCATATGAAGGTTAGGTTTTAAGCAAGCCATCATAAAATATAAAAATGTTAGCTAGAAAAATGTCAGACAATATGAAATTAAAAAGAAAAATTTCAACAAACTCTTTCCAATAAAATTACTGACAGATGGAACATGAGGGCGGGAGTCAAAGGGGCAAATTTTGACAGCCTCTAGTAACCTCTAGGACCGACACCATCAAGTTTCCAAGCTGAAATCAAGGCAATTGACCTCTGTGGGCAAGAAATACTTAAAAAGAGATTAAACGGTGAACAGAGGTTCTCAGAGAGCCAAGCAGCACTGATCACTTTTGACTCCAACTTCAACTTAAAGTATGGGAATGCAGAATATCTCTAACTATTGAGAAAACGGAATCATATAATTCTGAAGTGAGGGATTAGAAGTTAATGAACAGGCTGAAAAACTCGTCCACTCAAACTGCAAATTAGAAATAAATGAGAATCTCAACCAAGAAAATGTATCTTTCACAGTGGGAAGAGTTAAGGCTTTAAAAAAATGGGAAAAACCGAGACAGAAACCAGGCGACTCTGCCTTGAAAAGCAGACATATGAACATATCTGATGTGAGTGCAAAGCATTAGCCTGGAAATGGTACACCCACTTCGGAAAGGTGGCACACCAAGGGAAATAAGTGTAGAAAGAAGGGTCAACTTTACAGTAGATATTTTAGGTCTTAGTGAAAAAAAGCCTCAATAAATTTCCACTCGTTTCTACTTACTAACATAAACTTATCTTGTAGATTCTGGTTATAATTACTTCTCACATTTATTTGTAAATAAAAAATATATAAATGAGTTTCTTTACATAGTCTGTGTCTCTATTCACGAACGTATTGTCTTTATGTACACAGCATGAAAACATCCGTTTCTTATTCTAAAACAAAATCATATTAAAAAAAAGTTTGAGAATAACAGTTGTCCTTGATATATTAAGCACAACGAGGCTCACCTTAGAAGTAGCTTTTACAACGTTTGACAAACTGCAGCTGCATTTTGGCGGCAGCAACCCATTTGATTCGGTTTTGAAGTTGAGCTGAAATTCAGAACGTTCAACATTAAGCATCAGGACTAGTTCAAAATTTAGTCGAATAAGAAAATAAAAAGAGAAATAGCTCTCCACATTCTTTTCTTTTTCTCTCACACACTCATTTACTATCTTGCGCTCACTCACTCATACATACACACACTCTTTTCTTTTCCTCTTTCACACTTTTCCTTCATTTACTCTCTCTTTCTCTCATACTTACAAACTTCATTTCTCTCTCTCTCACTACCTTTCACTTTCCCAGTTTACTTTCTCTATCTCAATCTCTTTCTCTCTCTCTCTCTCTCTCTCTCTCTCTCTCTCTCTCTTATCACCTCACTTAGTCTCTTTTGCTCTCTCTTACTTTTGATTAGTTTATTATATTCTTTTTACAAGTTCTTTTTATTTGTTCTTACATTTTGTTTATATATTTTTTCCTTTCCTTTATTATTAATATTTATTTAAATTATGTAGACTCTGGCAGATTGACATAAGGCATACATTCATAAAAACTTGAAAATTTACGTTAAAACATACTTACAAACGTTTCGATTCCTAAAGTTGCGCATTTGTCCAAGAGTTCTTGACATTTTGCAGAATATTTTTGACGACAGGACGCCAGTTGTAATCTTATGTCTGAAATTGTAGTTTTCTCATCTCCTAAAATAAATTTATTAAAAAAAAAATCTTTCATTGAAGTATTATCAAGTATGGCTCATATTTTGGGCAGGCCACTAGTTCAGACACTTTTTTTTTTACTGGGTTTATAAATAACCAGCTACCAATCACCATTCGGATGCCTATAAACTGCTCAAAAATGAATAGTGATATTACCAATTTTGTTGTATTTACTTTCCCTAGCATTTTTATTTCGTTTTTATTGTAAATTGAATTAAAATTCATTATAAATTGTGTGTGGTGTTTAGTGACAGTTAGTTAACGATTATTTGGAGATCATGAGATGCGGTCTGGTATGATGTAGGTTTAAAAAAACAAAACATTTTCTTTATTGTGCCAATGTTTCGATCTTTATTGAGATCATCTTCAGGGCTTGGGATTTATAAGCATTATTTAAATTTTACAAATACATTTAGGATGTGAAAAAAATGAATTTATACAATGCTACAAATTTTAGATTCAATCAAAGTATTTGTACTCACTCAAAGTGTTTGTTTTCCGTGTAGATGTGTCATTATTGTGTCTTGTGTCTCAATGGCACTCTCAACATGACAGACGAAAATGACACATCTACATGGAAAACAAACACTTTGAATGAGTACAAATACTTTGATTGAATCTAAAATTTAGAGCATTATATAAATTCATTTTTTTCACATCCTAGATGTATTTGTACAATTTAAACAATGCTTCCCAATCCCAGGCCCTGAATATGATGTCACTACAGAAAATGTTTTTCTAAAACCTACTTCCCACCAGACCGCATCTCACGATCTCCGGATATTCATTATAAATTATGTTTTTTACTGAAGGAAAATTTAATTAATGGATTCTGAAAAATATCATAATAATTTTTTAAAACAATTAATACCATATATAATGTCCTCTGTTAGCTAAAACCTCTGTGCACCTGTTAGGCATACTGTTAATAAGGTGTCACTAGTTTCATAAGGAATATCACCCTATAGAACTAGCAATGCTGCACTCAGTGGTTGCAGGTCAACTGGTTGCGGATGGTGATCGAAAAGCATTCTACGTAACGCATCCCACATGTGCTCAATGGGATTGAGGTCTGGAGTCAATGGGGGAAGGGGCAGATGGGAAATTCCCAGGTTTTCTAAACATTGATGAACAACTCTGCCTATATGAGGTCTGGCATTGTCACCCAGAAATCGAAAATCCCTGCCAATTAGATCCCTGGTTTGAAGGATGTATTCCTTGATAATTTCGTGGACCTAACGGACTGCGGTGAGGTTGCCTTCAACAATATGGAGTCCAGTTCGTCCTCCCATGTAAAACTCAGACTAGACATTACACCGCCTCCTTCAAACTGCACTGAAGGGAACACAAACTGGGCCATTGTATGCATCCCCGTTCTCAGGAGACTTCGGCGCTGGCTATCACTATACAAACAGAAACATGACTCACCAGTAAACATAACAGCATTCCAATTAGTGTTCTCTTCTAGGAGTTTGGTGCACCATATTCTCCTAAGTTGCAGGTGGCAGGCTGTTACTGCATGTGATGCCAACTAAATGAAGTACAAGATGTTTTGGCAAGGTCTTGTAGTTTATTAAGGACTGGCGGGCACAATGGAATTGTTGCAGCAATGATAATATTTCTTTCCTGCCTTGATCCACTTAGATCCACTACCACTACCTTCCTATTGGCACTTCCAGTCTCTCAGAATCTCTGAGAAACGCCAACTGCCTCTGCGATATCCACTTGACGGTGTCCTCAATGACTCACTCTCACAATAATATTGCGAACTTCTGGTTCAAGATGATGTCTTTCTATGTTAAAGATGACACAACTGGTTTAAAATAGAGAAAAGATGATAAAAGATTTTGTTTACAAAACGAGTAATCTTCATGATTACTATAGTTAAGTAAATCTGGTATTAAAAATGAAGATTAACAAATTTTTTATTCTTATTTTCTATTTGTTTTTATACAATTAACAAAAATATATTGGTTAATTTAACTAAAATCAATAGAATAAAAATAAATTATAAACATCCCTATTCATGTTAGAGCACTTTACATTGCAAGTTTCATTTGTAACTTTTTCCAATTTCATTTTAATGATTAAATTCATTACAGTTCGTGGTCCGATTGACCAATTAACATTTTTCAATTAATTAATATTTATGAAAGGTATTGGTCGAGATAAAATTTTTAATTTTAATTACCATTTCACCGCATTATTTTGATAATTAAGTCATTAAATATAATTAAAAAGCTAATTTGCCTGTGTATAAACAAAGATGTTCTATCATTTTGATTGCTCACTTGTAAGGCAGGGCTTAAGCAGTTTTTCAACTTACGAGCTCGTTTCTTATTATAAATTTTTTAAATTATTGTTTTTCACTTATATATAGTATTTATAGTGTATTTACCTTTGTCTTCCATGGCTAAGAGAACGGGAATATAATAGTGAAATGTTTGAAAGTTTAAAAATGCTAAAAACGGTCGACGGTGTTGGACTGTTGTCGTTTTTCCCTCCAAACAAGGTACCAGCACGGTTATAAGACTCACGGGGTCTCAACGAATCCGTGACGTCATACGGTACAAAGGGGTTAACTGCCAGTTCTTACAACCATTTTATTTTACTAGAGTTTGCAACAGCAAAGGTCATATAAACCCTAAGGGTGCCAGTATTTTGATAAAAAGCCCAATTGTAAGTATGTCGGGTTCGAATGCAAGGCAGCTGGATTCGAACCTTCGACCTTTAACCGTTGCGTCCACCGACGTTCCTGTACAACCATTCTTCTTATTAATATTAATTAAAAAAAAGATGCTTTTTCAGATTATTTATTTATTTGAGCGAAAAAAATATTAATAACTTATCTTATTATTATTGCTATTTAATAATTATTAATAAATTATTTATTAATTATAATTAATTTTAGCCATATCATTTTTTCCTATTTCTTGCAAAGTTCTGTCCATCAAAACTTTTTACAGACAAAACTAACAATTTTGTATAGCACCATTACCAAATCCTTTCTGATCATAAGCCCATAAGAGACTTACAAATGAAATGAACCCACATCGACCAAAATTCGCAAAACTACATAAATAAAGCTTATCCTTAAGATCCAGCATGAATAACAGGACACATTACTCAAAACACACAATGGACACAAACACTCAACAGACGTATAATTAATAAAAATAAAATTTTGTGATTTACTTTCGGTGATGTACCAACCTTCATGGCGATGTAATTCGATCCTTACTGGTCATCTTAGTCTGCCTATCCTCGAGTGGTCTATCCTTAGTGGTCCTTCCCATTGCTCCGTGGATCAGCAGAGCCATGGACGGAACGTTTACTATGCGGATTCATAGAATAAGTTTCGTTATACAAATTTAATTATCAATCGTTTTGGCCATCTCCAAGCATACTGATCCACATCGTATTATATCGGAATTTGCCCATTTATTTTCATAAAATTCCTTATTCTCCCAATGAACAACTTGAAGCACTGAGACACATTGAAGATGAGACAAAAATATAAAATTCACAGTAGAAATAGTCAATATAATATCTCAGAGAATTAGACCTAACAATAACTAAAACTGACAAATTCGAAATATAGAGGAATGTGTCGGCCCTTTGAGGACATTTTAGGGCTATCACTGAATTCAATTTTGAGGCCGTGATATATTTTTCTTCCATTCCATCGGTCGCGTGGTGGCTAATCTGATTCCCCCCTCTAAGATGCCATATTCTTGAATTTTAGGATAGAATCGGGTGTCACTTCCATTTCCTTTTCCGCCCCTAAAACATTTCATGTACCGAAATTTGTCTTTTAATTTTATTTTAACTTGTGGTTTTGAACGTCAATTTATTAATTTATAATTAACACTATTAAAATAAAACGATGTTCTGTTATCAAAAATACTTTGGGCACACCAGTGCTCCCCTACTATTCACTAGCCATACATATTTTGCGACCGAATGATTTAGCAAAGTAGGTCAAAATATTATTTTTTTAACAAGAAACAAAGGCGATATTCGCTTTTTACACCTTAAAATCCCTGCACACAAATTTTGGAATAAATTTTTTTTTGTCTGCTCGAATATCACTAAAATGGTGATAACTTTCTACCGTCTGCACCGATCTTCCGAAAAGTTACCAGGAGTTTAGGTCCTTACAAATTACACTTTATGACACGTTCGTAAAAATGTGAACTGGAGTTAAAAATAAAACGTTCGACCAGTTTTTCTTGGTTTTATCCTTATTTTTCTCACTTGTAATGACATAAAATCTAATCATTGTTGATATGGGCTGAAACAAGAATTATCCTGCTTTCCAACGGTTTTCATAACGTTGGATTTGGATAAAATCCAGAGGGGTTATGAAGTTTTAAGTGAAACAATGAGACATCGTAGGAAAAAAAATCCCCCGGCTGATCCAGCCAAAAAATATTTAGTTTTTGTTACATATGAAAATTCGTATTTAAGGGCTTTAAATGGTGATAAAAATGAAGCCCAATTGAGTTTTTCATTAAATAATAATTTTGATGGGGCGTCAGTGGCCGCAACGGTTTAGGCATTGACACGGCGCTAATCACGGTGAAGATCCCGGGTTCGAATCCAGCGGCCCTGCATTCGAACCCGACATACTTACGGATGGGCTTTTTTTCAAAAACAATCCGAGGGTTGATATAACCTCTGATGTTGCGAACCCTCGTTAAAAAAAACGTTAATATATATGTAATGTGTCGTTGCTTTTATTTTCTTTGTAGTATAAAAACAAATCGACAGGTATACAATATCCTTGAAATGCATGCATATAAATTACTTACAATATTTTTTTGTCGGCTGCTAGGGCCCAATGGCAAGAACGCTCGGAAACGAATCCAACATTTTTTGACCTAGCATCACCAAAAATGTTTCATTGAAATCTCACATCCCCGGGTAAGTACGAAAGAGACAAGCAAAGAAAGATAAAGAGCGGAATGGCTACGATGCACAAGTCAGCACCTCGACCTGTTCCAAAACTTGGATGGACGGTTTTTGAGAACAATAAGCACAAGTGGTAAAAAGAGAATCTATAGATTTTTTAAATTTTAAAGCACCGAGTACTTCAAGGAGGTCGGTTTAAAAAACAAATCGTGATTTTTGGTCGTAAGACGAATGCTGATAGTGGTTGAAAATAACACACTTTGGACAAAGCAGTTCGAGACATTTTGTCTGCCTCTCCCTGCTTATATCCTAACGTCCATTATATCATTTATATACGAAGGCACTTTTTTTCTTTTAATTAATTATTCTTTGTATGTAAGGTTTTGGTTGGAATGAAAAAGTTACTGCCACGAGCGGAATTCGAACCCACGACCTTCGGGATAAATACGCCGCTGCTCTACCACTTGAGTTATCGTTAGTTCGACCCACTCGGACACCAACTCTCCATCTCAACCTACAACCGTACGAATTTTCCCTCTTTTTGCCATTTTCAAATGTCGTATAATCAGGATTGGATTTTCAGCGACTTATGAAGTGGCCACGGGAGCTGTTTAGAGAAGTGTTACTTGTTTTAGTTATTAAATATAAATCCATTTTCGTTTTAGTGGTCAATTGACCAAGTTACTTCTTTCAATTAATTAAACTTTATATAAGGTTTTGCTTGAAATAAAAAAGTCAGTGTCACGAGCGGGATTCGAACCCACGACCTTCGGCTAAGTACGCCGCTGCTCTACCACTTGAGCTATCCTGACTTCGATCCTCTCGGATACCAATGAAATACCAATTGAAAATGGCAAAAAGAAGGAAAATTCGAACGGTTGTAGGTTGAGATGAAGAGTTGGTATCCAAGATCAATCACGATCTAAACATAATTAAAAACATATTATTACCACTTGCGCTATCGTGACAAGTGGTAGAGTAAGTGGCGTATTTAGCCTAAGGTCGTGAGTTCTAATCCCGCTCGTGACACTGACATTTTTATCTCAACCAAGACCTTACATAGAAAGAATAATTGATTGAAGAAGTAACTAACGATAGCTGAATTGGTAATAATATATTTTTGATTATGTTTAGATCGTGATTTGTACTTTTAATAGTTTATTACATTAGTGGAAGGCACTCTCAACACGACACGCAAGGATGGCACAATTACACAGAAGACAAACACTTTGAGCCCTGAAGATGATCTCAATAAAAGATCAAAACGTTGGCACGATAAAGAAAATGTTTTTCTGAAACCTACATCACACCCGACCGCATCTCACGATATCTGAATAACTATTAGTGGAAGATTTTGTTTATTTATGCCTTGTAACCTGTTTTTTTTTCTTTAACAATTCTGTAATTCTGGGGTTAGCTATTTTATAAGTAAAGTTAAATCTATTACTATGAGTTATATTTATGCAATATAAAGAACAATTTTGTTTTCAAATTTATCAGTGCCTTTCTATTGATATCCTTGGTTTTGGTGTTCATCTCCCCCCCAATTGTTTTCTCGGTCGAAACGTACATAGATTATCTTCATAAAATCCTCCCATTTAATGTAATAGAGAGTAATCCTATTTTCCATAGATTATTTCAATACATATCCTGTAATGTTTAATTGATGGTGGGCTAAGGGGGTGAGAATAACATTTTCAGTTCGGGTAGTGTATTGTTTGTGTAACACGATACGACCGGGGCCTGCTTTTAGCCCCTTCCGAGCTGAGCTCTCACTCACGTCTCGTCATTTTACAAATTATATTCAACCAAGAGTTGATTCAATGCGTGTTCGCCTCAATATGCCATTTATATTCTATAATTTAATGACTTTTAAGATGACTCTCGCACACTCCCTCGTTCCGTTCCGTCCTCTGGATTCGAGTATCACTCTTCTCCCTATCAAAGCTTCGATACAAAATGGAAAAGAATGCCAATTTTTCCATGGAACTATTCCTCGATGACATAAATCGAATACGGAAAATTACAATAATCACTTCTTGATGACAGAGACCAGTTTTTTAAACAGTCAAAATTGCCCAAATATCCCATAAAATATTCAGTTGAAAGCCCTGAAATATCCACTAATATGCAGTACTAATACGTTAAAATATGCAATGATATGCAGTAAACAAATTTTCTTACTATTTTAGTAACTTTAAACAGAAATATAGATAATTAAATGAAATAGATATTAGGACTTTTTTATTTTAACGAGGGTATTTCAACTATGAGGTTTCCAAATAACCAACCCAATGGCCAAAATACTCTGAAAGTTTCTGACTATTTTTTTTCATTCTGAGAGCTACTGTAAACTCCTATTGTCCTGTTAGAAATGAGAGGTACAGAAAATACAATTTTTAAGAGCTCTCACCAAAAAAAACAAAAAAAAATATCCAAACCCAATCCAAGGATACACGACAATTTTATATATATATTATTATTTCTTTCAATCAATTAATTATTCTTTCTAAGGTCTTGGTTGAGATAAAAAAAGTTAGTGTCACGAACGGGATTCGAACCCACGACCTTCGGCTAGCTGTCGGCTCGAATCCCACTC